CGAGTAAAAGTCCGCTGCGGGGGGAACTTCGGGTTTACACAGGAAATGCTCGCGACGACACTGGATGGACACGACATTTTATTGGGACGTGATTGGCTGCGACGGTACAACTTACGGATTGACTGGACGACGGGGAGCTGCACAGTGCGAAGTAGTGGTAACTGGGTCATCCTACCTCGCTGGCAGCCACCCGAATCTTCGACGGCCCAGGTCAACGCCATCACGATGAAACGGGCTGTCGCTGCTGGAGCTGACGTGTACGCAGTGGATATCGCGCTAGTGAAAAAAGAGGAGCAGCCGAGTGATTTAGAGAAACTGTTGGCAGCCGTACCGACCGAACTACAGCCACTACTGAAACGGTTCCCAAAGATATTTCCGGACGATCTACCACAGGGACTGCCACCTCAACGGGCGCACGACCATAGGATCGAGTTAGAACCGGGGGCACAGCCAACTGTACAGCGGCAATTTCGACTGACACAGCCCGAGCTCGACGAGTTGAGGAAGCAGTTAGATTACCTGTTAGAAAAGCAATTTATCCGACCGAGTTCGTCACCGTTCGCCGCACCGATACTGTTCACACCGAAAAAAGACGGAGGGTTCCGCATGTGCATCGACTACCGAGCGCTTAACAGGGTAACAGTCAAATCGCGATACCCCATCCCCCGCGCCGACGAACTGATTGACCAACTGCGAACAGCACGAGTCTTTTCGAAAATAGATTTACGGGGAGGTTACCATCAGATTCGGGTCGAACCATCGGACTGCGCCAAAACAACATTTAGGACTAGGTACGGGTCATTCGAATATACAGTAATGCCATTCGGGCTGACGAACGCGCCTGCGACTTTTCAGATGACCATGAACGAGGCGTTTAGGCCACTTTTAGATAAATGCGTGATAGTTTACCTCGACAATATCCTCGTTTACAGTCGGGATAAGCAGCAACACTTAGCAGATCTTGAAGCAGTTTTTAAGGTTTTAGAGGAACATCGGCTGCTCACCAAGGGCTCCAAGTGCGAGTTTTTTAGGGATAGGCTAGAGTTTTTAGGTCACGTTATTTCGGAGGCTGGGGTTGAGATTGACCCAAAGAAGCTGGATACGGTAAAAGAGTGGCGCCCCCCGGCGAACATCACGGAACTGCAGAGTTTTTTAGGGTTTGTTAATTACGTTCGACGGTTCGTGCCCGACATGGCACGTTTAACAGCCCCACTCACTGATTTACTGCGTAAGGGGGTCGCTTTTACGTGGGGGGAGAAAGAGCATGCTGCCTTCTCTGCCCTGAAAAACGTTCTCTGTTCACCACCCGTTCTACGCATCGCTGATCCCCACCGCCCTTTCGAAGTCATTACCGACGCAAGCGACATCGCCATCGGAGCCGTACTGCTACAGGACTTCGGGAACGGCCTACAGCCTATCGCATACGAATCACGAAAGCTGCACCCACCTGAGAAGAACTACCCGATACACGATCGCGAAATGCTTGCGATCGTGCATGCGTTCAAAGTGTGGCGCTGTTACTTGACCGGCGCAGACGTGACAGTACGGACAGACCACCGATCACTACAGTATCTCCGCGCACAACCCCACCTCAACCCACGACAGATCCGCTGGCTCGACTTTCTAGAGTCGAATTTCCATTACACGGTCACCTACAAAAAGGGAGCGTCCAACATTGCCGACGCACTGACCCGCCCCACTGCCCAAATCCACGCAATACTACTCGCCCAGACTAGCCCACTACTAACAGGACTATTTACCCACGGATATCAAACAGACCCATTCTTCACCGGAGGCAATTCGCAGCAGTTCGCAGCAGCACGAGGGGTCTATTATGTAAAAACCGGGACCGACCGCATTTGGGTACCCGGGTATACACTACTACGGGAATTACTGTTACAGGAGGCACACGACGGAGTTACCTCGGGTCATTTTGGGGTAGAAAAAACACGGCAGCAGCTGCAGCGGTATTATTACTGGCCAGAAATGTTGACCGACATCCAACGACACGTGGCGTCGTGTCCCACCTGCCAGGTCATGAAATCATCACGGAAGCGGCCGGCAGGACAGTTGCAGCCGATTCCACCCCCAGAGCGTGCTTGGCAGCAGGTGACGATGGATTTCGTCACGGGGTTACCGGCCGGGGCGAGTGGGAACGACGCGATCCTGGTCGTCGTCGATCGACTGACGAAAATGGCACATTTCGCAGCTTGCAAGAAATCAATCACAGCCGAAGAAACAGCCCGCCTCTTCATCGCCACCATTGTTCGCCTCCACGGGATACCATCGGCAATTATCAGCGACCGCGACACGAAATTCACCAGCAACTTCTGGCGGAACCTGTGGCAGCAGTTTGGCACGCGACTACAATTCAGTTCTTCGTACCACCCCGAAACGGACGGACAGACAGAACGGACAAACCAGACCATGGAGCAGCTCATCCGGGCCACGTGCGACGACCCGAACACGTGGGAACAGCAACTACCACTCATTGAATTCGCATACAACAATTCGCCCTCCGCCACGACCCAACAGTCACCGTTTTACCTGAACTACGGACAGGACCCAACAGTACCCATGACCCCAAATCCCGACAATCCAGTCCCACGCGCACAACAGTTCGCCGAGATTTTGCAAGCAGCACGGATTAGGGCAACAGACGCAATTAAAAAAGCCAACATCATCGCTAAGCGCAACACCGATCGCCACCGCCGACCTGTCACTTACCAGCCAGACGACCTAGTACTAATCAATACTCAGAACCTCCGCTTGCCCATCACTCCAAAACTTCGCCCCCGATATTGTGGGCCATTTCGCATCAGCCACATGATCACACCCGTCACCGCCCACCTCCTCCTCCCTGCTGACTGGTACGTCAGCCCGTCATTCCACGTCAGCCTACTTCGCCCTTACATCCCATCCACGAGCCAACTGCCACGAAATCGCCCAGCCAGCATGACACGCCCCCCAATCGAACCAATCATCACCCCTGAAAAAATCCTCAGCCACCGAGTCCGCGACCCTCGGGGAGCCCGAAGGATCGAGTTCCTTATTCGCTGGAAGGACCGAACGCCCACAGAAGACAACTGGGTCCCCCTGGATAAAATCGAGAACTACCCTGTCTTCACCGAGTACCTGCGAAGCCGAAATTTCCGCGACGTCCATGCGCTCTCGTAAGAGGGGCCTCCTTGGGGAGGGGGGTAGTGTAAGGAAAATTCCTTTTCCTTACTTCGCATCCCCGCTCAACGCGTACATCACTGTAGCACCTCAGTCAGCACCGTTACCACTCACATCAATAATCCGCCCGCCATTTTTCGCATGTCGCACCCCGACCTCACGGCTCGGCGGTAACCCGCGCTCCGGACCTCCGCCTCGACACTTTTTCCCAACCTCAGTCCCAGGCCCGTCGCGCGACAACCACAGTCCATTACCGTTACCACTATAGTTTCGCTATATAATCCTTCGCTCATGCCTTCGCTCATTGTACTCTTGCTTCGATAGTGCAATTCTCGTTCGTTCACTCGATTGCACTCGTAACAGTTTCCCACGCAAATAGACAGCGAAATTGGGTCTCCTATAATTAGGCTTTGAATTCTGCCTAAGATAACGAAAAGAACCTAAACTCTGTCTCAAAATCACCACCGAGACTCTCTGATATATCTAGGGTTGTGAGCTGGTCCGAATTCGTTTTTGGTTCAGAGGAATGATGATTGAACCCAAGAGCACCACCAAATCCTTAGGAGACTTGGCAATTGTTAACAAAATTTTAGATGCCTGTCACGTCACTTGATCTGTTGAGAAAGTACCGGCCAATATCATTGATACTCAAATTATGTCAGGCGCGGTTCGCGAACGTAATCAACCGACATTTTCCTTGTAGAGTAACTACATTTACTGAACGTTGTATTTTTTAGCACATTTCCAAAACAAATCGCCCCCAGCACCTCAACTGCACGTACCCAACAAAGCAGGAAAAATACTAAAACGCTTGGATATTAACCTTTAATAAGCCTTGAAGTGTTTAAAAATATGCCTTGCGCTTGGATTGTCTCAACAAACAAACGACACCGTCCAGCAGAGATTACTGTCCGCAGACAAATAAAAATAAACTGAATGCGAAAAGGCATCCAGTCCTGATGACATCAACCTTAAACACCTTGTCGCATGACGTTTCAGATTGGTGTCTCTGTTACATAACATGTCATTCGATGTTGTTTTAATCTTCGTCTGTTCTAGGTCAGCAGGTCCATGGTCGACGGAAGGTTGACAGTTTGACCCCGATCCGATGAATTATTCCCATTCGGCATCCTTTTTGCTAGTGGTCGCAATTTGCGTTTGATACAATTCTTATTTCTTGGGTAGCTCTTCGACAGAATTGTTCATTGTTAACTTAAGTGACTGTGTTTTGTTTCTGTCAAATTTCAGAAGTGCTATTAGCGTAGAAGTGTGATTGAAAAGGGACGACCAATCAGCGTTGAGAAATCAAGGTGAGTACCGACGCAAACTTTCTCTGGCATACTTTGAGTATCAATGATATTGGCCGGAGAAAGTACACACTGCTCAGTTCAGGCATGCTCGCGTGCGAGTTGAGGGGTTCCTTCCTTCTCTCCATCGACTCCCTCCCTCACCTTCCCCCCCGCCCTCCTCTCCTCACCTCCCCTCACACAGCAACCCTCGTCATTCCAAGCCACTGGTAGGGCTCATCCTGGGAGAAATGGAGACCAAAATAGACGTTCGCCACATCGACAGCAGCATGTGATGGGAAACCAGATGCTTTCACTGCTCGCCAGTAGCTAGCTCTTTGGTGGTCCTCGCGCAATCGGTGCATCGTCCGCCGTGCCGCTTTGGTAACCAAGCGTAGAGGATAACCCGCCGGATATTAGTTGCTCCAGGGGTTGTTGGAGATTAAAGAGACGGGGATATTTATTTTAGTACCTTAGCCGTCACAACATCCCATACCTCCGATTTCCCCCCTAGCTTCCCCCGCATTTCCGCCGCGAATGGAGGACGACGGAGATTGGACGGTCGAGGAAAACACGGCAGTCGAGCCGCCAGTGGCAGAAAACGACGAGCTTTTCCGCGAGGCGTGCGCTTTCGAAGGCGCCGCGGTCGTCGCGCTAGTGGAAAACACATTCAACGGCGCGGATGACGGCGCGGATGGCGGAGGGGGGCAGGTCGGCGCAAAGACGATGGAGATTATGCTTGACGACGGTGTGCTACTAACGGTGGAGCTGGATTCCGGGGAGAAGCGTCTTAACGAGCTAGGGTACAAACAAGACCTTCAGCGCGATCTGGTGCGTACGACCACGTGCGATAATGCGCGATAGTGTGCGACCATGCGCGATAAATTGCGAAAATGCGCGACTGTGTGACCGTAGCGGGGGCGTTGAGTTGTCGCCTGCATTCTCGCTCTGCTCGCGGGACTAACACAACTGGAAAAGACTCGGCTTGAGGTCGTCCCATTCCTATGTGACTGTAGCGGGGCCTTTGAACTGCCTCCTGCATTATCGCTCTGTTCCCTGGACTTGTAACGGTTCGAATCCACTCTAGGCCGTCCCGCTTTTGCGTCAGACTCGACTAGGTCGGACTCGGGCCACCTGATACTTAAATGAGAAAACGCAAATTTCTCGTTGCCTGTGCTCGCACCCGCCGTCTGTTTCGCGCATCTCCGCCCATTCCCCCGGTGAATATATCGAATGGTGCCGTTTGTGGCGATATATCGAATGGTGCCGTTTGTGGCGATATATCGAATGGTGCCGTTTGTGGCGATATATCGAATGGTGCCGTTTGTGGCGATATATCTAATGGTGCCGTTTGTGGCGATATATCGAATGGTGCCGTTTGTGGCGATATATCGAATGGTGCCGTTTGTGGCGGTTCAAGTTGCCTCCATATCGAATGCGCATTTATCTCATCCTTCCGACCCTCTGTTTTCCCTCCACCAATCAGAACGCCTTCGAGCTGTTCGCCGTGTCGCTAACAGGGGTGGGGGTCTTCCTCGGAGTTATCCCGTACTACGAGTGAGTGGTGCTTTCTCTTATCGAATCGACTCAAATTTGTCTTATAACGGGTATGGAATGGGGGTATCATTTTGCGGAATTATCCCGCACAACTTGTGGTACGAGCAAGTGGTGCTGTTGGAGCTGTGGCCGCATTCTTCTTTACTTTCGCTCCTCACCCCCCCATCAGTTACGCCTTCGCGAGTGGCGGTCCAGTAATGGCGCTCTGGTTCTGGTGGATGTCTGCTTTCTTCGCCCACCCACTGCATCGACCTCTCCCAAACCTGCCTTCCATGGCAACCTCTCCTCCTCCTCTCCCCCCACTGTCCCACCAGTTACGCCTTTGCGAGTGGAGGCCCGGTGATGGTCGTGTGGTTCTGGTGGATTACTGCTTTCTTCGCTCACTGCATCGCCCTCTCACTCGCTGAAATCGCCTCTTCCTTTCCCGTGAGTCGCACCAGCCAGGCTTTAAGGCTCCTCTCGCGCTCGCGCACTGCATTACTCTCTCGCTCGCGCACTGCATTACTCTCTCGCTCGCGCACTGCATTACTCTCGCGCTCGCGCACTGCATTACTCTCGCGCTCGCGCACTGCATTACTCTCGCGCTCGCGCACTGCATTACTCTCGCGCTCGCGCACTGCATTACTCTCTCGCTCGCTGAATTGCCTCCTCCTTCCCTGTTGAGTCGCACGAGTTGCGCTTTAAGGCTTCCCCCCTCCCTTCCCCTTCTTCCTCCCCCTCTCTATTCCCTCATCAAGTGTTCATCCCCCTCTGTCCCCTACCCCCTCTGCTCCTCTCGACTTCTCCTCTCTCACGTTTTCTTCTCTGCTTCCCTCTCTCCTTCCTCTCTTACTCGCATCGTTACTCCCGTGTTAATGAAACTCACCTAAAAAACCGCTTCTTGGAAATCCTGTTGCTCTCACAAACACCTATTTCTTCTGCTTTCTTCCCGACCTCATCTCATCACCTCTCTCCTCTCCTCATCTCCTCTCCTCTCTTTCCCTCCCACTCATTCCCCCCCTCCACATCCCGCTTCCAGACTGCTGGTTCACTTTATTTCTGGGCAGCAGCACTGGCCAAGCCTAAATATCGCCCGCTCGCTGCCTGGATCACAGTAAGTGCTCTCCTCTCCTCTAAGTGTTCGCGGAGTTTTTTTTTTTTACGAGTATGCTAAGTGTTTGCTTAGTGCGTGCGAATTGTTCACCAAGTGTATTCTAAAGCTCTTTAAATAGTGAAATCTTAGCTAAGAGCACGGTTCCAGACTTGTCCGCCCGCCATCCGGCACAAAATGGCCAGGGTCGACGTGTAAAGACACGCTGTACACACAGACACTCGTGCCCTGAGATTTTCCAAAGATCGCACAGTCTAGGGCTTGCAACTGTGCCTACGACCCTAACATCCAATCGTGAATGTTTCCGGATGTGTGCGAACGAACCTGTGAAACACATGCACATTTCTCGCCAGAGGGGTTACAGCCATCGCCAGTTCGTGCAGTAAATTCGTGAGAGTGGTACATTGTGGTCCAGATTCGTGTCGGTGGGCTGCCAAATCACAGTGACGTGTATTGATGTGGAAACTTGTCCAGACTGTGATGGCGGGAGAACTTCAGAACCGTGCTCTGAGTGTCCATCAAGTGTTTGCTCCACGTACGCCAAGAGCTGATGCTATGCCACTCCGACTGCAGGCAGGCGCACGTAGCTTTTACCCAATTGTCTAAGTGTATTGGAAACTCACGCGTCCATTCTTCCCGGCCCGTCCCTCTCCCTCCCTTCCCCTCCCTGCTCCGCTGTGTTGTCTTCCTCCTCTGCCCGTCTCTCTCTCTCTTACTGCCAGGGCTGGCTGGAGTTTCTCGGGGCGTCCATCGGCTCGGTTGGGAGGGAGGGGGTGTCGCTGGGAGGGAAGGGACCCTCAAAGGTCGCCTCTTGTGCGGCCTTTCTCCTCTGCCCTCGTGCTCTTACCCATTGCAGGGCTGGTTGGAGTTTCTCGGAGCGTCCATCGGCTCAGGGGGGGTGGCTCTGGGAGGGGTGCTGCTCCTGAGCGACCTCGTTCTTCTCGCCACAGGTACAGTGCGGTGCAGCCAGGTCTACTGGATTGCAGCTGCAGTGGACTGCGGTGTGGTGCAGTGTGGTGCGGTGCAATAGGGTGCAACAGAGTGGAGCCCATCTCGGCTTGCTGGACTCGGAGTGTTGAGCCTGCCTGCGTGCTGTGCATTCATCATGCTCGTGTGTGTGCTTGTGAACCCGTCGCTTTGTCCCCTTGTACCCCCTTGCACCCCTTTGTATCCCTGTGTATCCCCTTGGTTCACCCCCCATGCCTTGTGTTGCAGGTGGGGTCAATGATGGGGTTGCTCGATGCCAGAACCTGCGCAGTTCGTGTGCTGTGTGCTGCGTGCTGTGTGCTGTGTGCTGCGTGCTGTGTGCTGCGTGCTGTGTGCTGTGTGCTGTGTGCTGCGTGCTGTGTGCTGTGTGCTGTGTGCTGCGTGCTGTGTGCTGTGTGCTGTGTGCTGTGTGCTGCGTGCTGTGTGCTGTGTGCTGTGTGCTGTGTGCTGTGTGCTGTGTGCTGTGTGCTGCGTGCTGTGTGCTGTGTGCTGCGTGCTGTGTGCTGCGTGCTGTGTGCTGTGTGCTGTGTGCTGCGTGCTGTGTGCTGTGTGCTGTGTGCTGTGTGCTGTGTGCTGTGTGCTGTGTGCTGTGTGCTGTGTGTTCATTCATCGTGCTTGTGTGTGCACTCGTCAACCTGTGTCTTTAACCCTCTGTAACCCTCTGTAACCCTCTGTAACCCCATGCACCCTCCCTTTTGAGTCGACTCAAAAGTGCACTCGTCAACCTGTGTCTTTAACCCTCTGTAACCCTCTGTAACCCTCTGTAACCCTCTGTAACCCCATGCACCCTCCCTTGCACCCCTTTGTTTGTACCCCTTCCATCCCCCTCTGTTACCCTGCCTTCCTGGTACTACAGGTGGCTCCAGCAAGGGGGGAATACACGATGCCAGAGCCGGTGCAGTTCGCGTGCTGCGTGTTCATCGTGCTAGTGTGTGCTGTGCGCTCACATGAACCTGTACGGCTGTGCTCTGCCCCTCCCATCCCCACCATGCCCGTGCTACTGCAGGTGGCGCCAACGGTGGCGGGTACATTATGCCAGAGCCGGTGCAGTTCGCCTGCTGTGTGTTCATTGTGCTAGTGTGTGCTGTGAGCGCGCGCATCAACCTGTCTCTTTCTCCCGGTGTACCCCATTGCACCCCTTTGTACCCCCGTGTATCCCCTTGTATCACCCCCCACTCATTCTCTTGCAGGTGGCGCCAACGGTGGCGGGTACACGATGCCAGAGCCGGTGCAGTTCGCCTGCTGTGTGTTCATTGTGCTAGTCTGTGCTCTCATCAACCTGCTTCCCATCAAGATGGTTGGCAGAGTGCTGCTGGTCGGCATGATCATCCAGGTGGGGTGCGGTGGGTTGCGGTGGGTTGCGGTGCTGAGGATGATGGGTGGGGGTGCATGCGGTGGCGTGCGGGGTGGGGTTGGGTGGGATGCATTGGTATCTACTGGCTTGTGCTGCTGGGTGCTGCAATGTACTGTACCCCTCCATTCCTCTCGCCTTCCCCATTCCTCCCCCCTACCAGGTGCAAGCAGGTGTGAGCACCATAATCACTCTCCCTCGTGTAGTGCCAACACTACAATCGGCCTCTTGGGTGTTCAACCATCTCCATTTCTCCTCACCTTCACCTTCCCCTCCCCTCCCCTCCCCCCTACCAGGTGCAAGCAGCTGTGAGCACCATAATCACTCTCCCTCTCGTCGCATCTACGTTGCAACCAGCCTCGTGGCTCGTCTGCTTACCTTCCTCGTGCCTCGTGGCTCGTCTGCTTACCTTCCTCGTGCCTCGTCTGCTTACCTTCCTCGTGCCTCGTGGCTCGTCTGCTTACCTTCCTCGTGCCTCGTGCCTCGTCTGCTTACCTTCCTCGTGCCTCGTGCCTCGTCTGCTTACCGTCCTCGTGCCTCGTCTGCTTACCATCCTCGTGCCTCGTGCCTCGTCTGCTTACCTTCCTCGTGCCTCGTCTGCTTACCTTTTCCCCTTCACCTTCCTCCCTCCTCGTGGCTCTTTTGCATCCCCTCGGGATCTGTTCTCCTACCCCTCTCATCCCCCCCCCCAACAGGTGCTAGCGGGTGTGATAACCATAATCACACTGCCTTTGAGTCGACTCAAAAGCAGACCCCTCTCATCCCCCCCCCAAACAGGTGCTAGCGGGTGTGATAACCATAATCACACTGCCTTTGAGTCGACTCAAAAGCAGACCCCTCTCATCCTCCCCCCCAACAGGTGCTAGCGGGTGTGATAACCATAATCACACTGCCTTTGAGTCGACTCAAAAGCAGACCCCTCTGATAGTAATGGAGCTCAACTGATTGATTAGGAAAGAAGGCACTAGGCCTTAAGTACAAACGAGGTTGGGATGGGCAAGGCTAGGGAAAGGATGGGATGGGAATCCTAGCAAATCTCCAATTGGTGAGTTGGCAGATTTGCAGGATTACGAGGGAATCCCAACCAGATAGGGTTGGGATCACAAACTACACCCAACCCGCAAATAACCTACGCGATATAGAATATAGTACACAAAGTGTTGACAGCCTAATTCTAACACCCTCTCATCCCCCCCCCCCAACAGGTGCTAGCGGGTGTGATAACCATAATCACACTTCCTCTCGTTGCGCCCACGCTGCAACCAGCCTGGTGGGTCTTCGGCCATTTGGATTTCGACACAGCCAGCACCAACCTGCCCAGCAACGTGAGTCCTTTTGAGACCCTCCAAAGCCGTCAGCGGCAGTCTCTCCCTTGAGTATTGCGTGTGTGTGCATGTGTGTGTGTGTGTGTGTGTGTGCTGGTGTGTGTGTGTGTATGCTGGTGTGTGTGTGTGTGCCGGTGTGTGTGTGTGCTGGTGTGTGTGTGTGTGTGTGCTGGTGTGTGTGTGTGTATGCTAGTGTGTGTGTGTGTGTGTGCCGGTGTGTGTGTGTGCTGGTGTGTGTGTGTGTGTGCTGGTGTGTGTGTGTGTGTGCGTGTGTGTGTGTGCTGGTGTGTGTGTGTGTATGCTGGTGTGTGTGTGTGTGCCGGTGTGTGTGTGTGCTGGTGTGTGTGTGTGTGTGTGTGTGTGTGCTGGTGTGTGTGTGTGTATGCTGGTGTGTGTGTGTGCCGGTGTGTGTGTGTGCTGGTGTGTGTGTGTGTGTGTGTGCTGGTGTGTGTGCTGGTGTGTGTGTGTGTGTGCTGGTGTGTGTGTGTGTGTGCGTGTGTGTGTGTGCTGGTGTGTGTGTGTGTGTGTGTGTGTGCGTGTGTGCTGGTGTGTGTGTGTGTATGTGTGTGTGTGTGTGCGTGTGCATGTGTGTGTGCTGGTGTGGCCGCTCATGCTGCATGGAACCAGCCTCGTGGGTCTTCGGCCATTTGGATTCCAACACAGCCAACACCAACCTGCCCAGCAACGTGAGTGCCTTTTGCTCGTCCATCTCTTGTCCTCTCCTCATCCTCTACGCAGCGCTGGTGAGTCTCTTGATGTCTCAATATACCCTCTATTCCTTCCACACTGGAGCCCTGTTGCTCTTCTCATCTTCTCCTCATCCTCTTTCCCTCCCTCCCTCCCGCCCTCCCTCCCATGTGACAACCCCCATAGCCACCTCAACCCCCGCTCTCCCCGTCTTCCTCCCTTTCTCCCCAGGGCTATGCCGTGCTGGTGGGACTCCTCATGTCCCAATACGCACTCTACTCATTCGACTCTGGCACCCACACATCAGAGGAGGCCAATCAGTCCGATCTGACAACCCCCATTGCCTCCTTGTCTTCCCCTCTTCTCATTGTCTCTCTCCCTCTCCCTCCCCCCAGGGCTATGCCGTGCTAGTGGGTCTCCTGATGTCCCAATACGCCCTCTACTCCTTCGACACTGGATGCCACGCAGCAGAGGAGGCCAAGCGGTCAGACGTCACAACCCCCATCGCCATGGTGGGAGCGCTGACACTCGTGTCGTTTCTCGAGTGGGCGGTGGTGGTGATGCTCACGTTCTGCATTCAGGACAACACTTCTTGTTCTCTCCTTGTCCCTCCTCCCTCTCCTCTCCCTCCCCAGGGCTATGCGGTGCTAGTGGGACTCCTCATGTCCCAGTACGCGCTCTACTCATTCGACACCGGAGCACACGCATCAGAGGAGGCCAAGCGGTCAGACGTGACAACCCCCATCGCCATGGTGGGAGCGCTGACACTCGTGTCATTCCTCGAGTGGGCCGTGGTGGTGGTGCTCACCTTCTGCATTCAGGACGAAGCTAGTCTGCTGGATGACAAGAACGCTGCGGGAGGGAAGCCGGTGATTCAGATCCTCTGGACCATCTTCACCGGGAGGTGAGCAGCACCGCCTTGCACCTCTCAGCACCGCACTGCACCTCAGCACTACTCTATAAAACTGGCAGAACACATTGGGAGGAAAGCCGGTGATTCAGATCCTCTGGACCATCTTGACTGGGAGGTGAGCAGCACCGCCCTGCACCTCTCAGCACCGCACTGCACCTCAGCACTGCTCTATAAAACTAGCAGAACACATCGGGAGGAAAGCCGGTGATTCAGATCCTCTGGACCATCTTGACTGGGAGGTGAGGCGCACCGCCCTGCACCTCTCAGCACCGCGTTGCAGGGCGCAGCAAGGAGCACAGCAGCTTCCTCCTTTCCTTCACTCCCCCCTCTCCTTTCCTTCCCTCCCCTATCCTTGTTTCCGTCCCCCCTTTCCTTCCCCCCGTTTGATCCGTCCACAACCACCACCCGATACTGCAGCACAGCAGGAGTGTATGTGCACTCTGCCTCTCTCCTCCCCCTTACTCCTTTCCGCCCCACCCTTGTTCCTTCCCGCTTGATCCATCCACCAGATATGGCAGCACGGCAGGGGTGTATGTCTTCATCTGCCTCTTCTTCTCCTCTTTCTTCTTCTGCACCATCACTCTCGTCTTCGCGGCCTGCCGTGTGGTACGTTCTTGCAACACCATGCGCCATCACTCATCAGTTCTTGGCATCCTTTCTGGCAACACCGTGCTCCCAGCCCTCATCTGCCTCTCTTCCTTCTTCTGCACCATCACTCTCGTCGTTGCCGCCTGCCATGTGGCACGTTGCCATAACACCATACGCCATCACTCTCTTTTCACCTCCTTGTTGCAACACCATGCTGTGCGGTCCTCATCTACCTCTCCTCCTCTTCTCTTCTTCTGCACCATCACTCTCGTCTTTGCTGCGGCGCATGTGGTGCGTTGCATCTTGTCTCTGTGTTTTGCAAACCATGTGCCAACTCATGTGGAACCATGTGGTAGCCACGTGGTATGTACACCCTTTGCGATTACATCACCTCCATTGTTGCAACACCACACCCCCCAGTTTTCGTGCTATGCAACCCATGCTGTGCAATAACCATGTGGTAACCATGTGGTCACCATGTGGTAACCATGTGGTCACCATATGGTAACCATGTGGTAGCCCATCCATTTCCCCACCCCCTTGCCCATCCCCCCCACATCCACCCCCAGGGCTACGCGCTTATCATCTGCTGCTGAGCGGCAGCACCGCCTACTTTGCCCACCCCTCCCGATGTCTCAGCTTTCCCTGCCCTTCCCCGCCTCCCCTTCCCACGGATCTGTGCTCATGAAGAAGGCCTTCATCATGTTTCGGCTTTGCCCACCCCTCCCGATGTCTCAGCTTTCCCTGCCCTTCCCCGCCTCCCCTTCCCACGGATCTGTGCTCATGAAGAAGGCCTTCATCATGTTTCGGCTTTGCCCACCCCTCCCGATGTCTCAGCTTTCCCTGCCCTTCCCCGCCTCCCCTTCCCACGGATCTGTGCTCATGAAGAAGGCCTTCATCATGTTTCGGCTTTGCCCACCCCTCCCGATGTCTCAGCTTTCCTTGTCCTTCTCCGCCTCCCCTTCCCCCCCCATTCCCTTTCTTCCATTCCCCCGGGGCCCCCCCACCCCCTTTCCCTCAGGGCTATGCGCTAGCGCGCGACAAAGGTCTACCTTTCTCCTTCCTGTGGCGGCGCATCAACAAGCGCAAGGTGCCTGTGAACGCGCTCATGTGCACCGTCGGCATCGCCATCGTGGCGCTGCTGCCGCTGCTGGGCGGCAGCACTGCATACTTTGCCGTCACCGGCATGGCCACGGTGGGGTGGTTCGGCGCATACGGCGTGCCGATCCTCTTCCGGATCCTTCAGGACGACGGGGACTTTGTTCCTGGGCCGTTTTACCTGAGGAACTACTTTGGCAAGATCGGAAGGTGAGGAGGTGCAGTGAGGGGGAGCAGGCATGGGCATGGGCAGGGCATGGGCAGGGCATGGGCAGGGCATGGCCACGGTGGGGTGGTCCGGCGCGTATGGCGTGCCCATCCTCTTCCGGATTCTCCAAGACGCCGAGGATTTTTCCCCGGGGCCGTTTTACCTGTGGAATTGCTTTGGGTTGGAAAGATCGGTGAGGATCGGTGGGGGGGTTGTGGCTCGTTGCAGATTGGGTATACCCTCTTTTTTCCACATCCTGCAAGCGACGCGACAGAGACTTTTGTATGGGCTGTTTTTCCTGAGGAACTACTTTGGAAAGATGGGAAGGTGAGGTGTGGTGAAGGGGCCATGGGCGTGGGCTTGGGGGGGATGTTTGTGTCCCTTGTTGGAACTTGCAAGAGGGTGGTTCTGCTGCAGCATTTACAGTCCCCTATCGCCGTGGTGGCACGGTGGCTGCCATCGTCACACTCCCATTTCTTCCACCATCCTTCCAAACTCAGATTCTTCTTCATACTTTCCTGCTGCCTACTGTTTCCGATTCCCCCCATGCAGTAAGTGCATACACATCCTGGCGCTGCTCTATGTGGTCTACACCATGGTCGTCTTTATGCTCCCAACAGAGTACCCAATAAATTCGTCAAACTTTAATTATTCGCCCATCGGGATCGTCATTTGTGTGAGCTTCTTCCTCCTGTGGTGGATCGTCGATGCCCGTCGGTGGTTCAAGGGCCCAAAGATTGCACACGGGGTGGATGCAGACTCCACACGGGCAGGTGGCATGGCAAAGGTTTTCGAGTAGTTTAGTTTGACTGATGTAGATATCATAGAAGATACATTGCGTTGTAGGTTTTCTTCAAGAACAAGACTGGCACGGGAACACTAGGTAATGGAGCCTACTGCATAAGAAGGTTTAGAGAATAGTGCTTTTGAGTGGCTTTGTAGTGTGCAGGACAGAGGTAATTTTAAAACGAAATGGATACAATATTAATGAACGAACTCTAACGAATTTATTGCCGCCAAGATCTGGGGGAGGGGGCACCTCCTTGGTATGTCTGTCAGTTGTCTGTCAGCCGGTTGAATCTATCCCGCCATGCCGTCCAAACACAGCAAGGGTGCAGTGCTGAGCCGAAGCTCCCCTTGGAATTTGTTTTGCAAGAGCCGGATTTGTTTTGGGACAAGTCCCCTTGGGATTTGTTTTGCCCCTCGTGGATTTTGTTCCGTCAGTGTGTTGGTGGTGGTGCTGCTGCTCGGCTATCCTGCAGTCTGCCTAGGAGACTCGATTCTCTTCTAGGATCACGCGCGACGCATCCTGGTTCGCAGGCAGCGATCATGGCGTCGCTGACAGCTGGGTTGCTGCGGCTCGTGCCGGTGGTGGGACCGCCAGCGGCCGCGTTGCTCATTGTTCTGGTAGACAACGCCGGTGCCGTATGCCTCGCGCTGCTCGCGATCTTCGTGTATCAATACATCAAGTGAGTGGTAATGAATGGTTGTGAGTGGTGGCTTTGGTCCCGTTCGGCTTCTCCTCTAGGATCATCTATCGCAGCTCGCAAAGATCGTCGTGTATCGCGAGCGAGTGGAGTGAGATTATTTAGTTCGACTTCTCAATATCAGTGCACAGCCGGACTTTCCATCAGGGCCATTCGGGTTCCCCTCGTGTCTTCGCCAGTTTCCATTTTGAGAGCGTATAGCTGTCAATAATTTACAAGCAACAGCTATCCGAAATTCACACTCTGATCGGGTCATCCAGAAAAAACAAAAAACAAAAAAAATTGTTTTTGTCTCCCTTTTTTTTCCGTTTCCATTGTTGTCCTTCGAGTACCGTCTTTGTTTATTACTGTTCGTATTTCCGCCAACTTCCATTTCCCCCGCTCCCCCATTTTCTCCTCCCCCCCCTCACCCGCCTTTCCAGCGCGAGCTTTTTCGACCCCGAGGATCGAATCTACGGGGTGCGTGCTGACGTGGACGGCCCAGGAATCACGTACCGCCACAGCCGCTTCCAGGGCCTCCTCGAGACGCCTTTCGCGGGCGCGAACACCATCCCGGGCCTCTTCAACATGTCCGTTAAGAAATTCCGCAACCGCCGTCTGCTCGGCACGCGGAGATTAATCTCCCGCGAGTTCGAATTAGACGCGAAGTTAGACAAGCAGGTGGAAAGAGTAACTCTCGGGGAGTACGAGTGGGAGACGTACGAGCGCGTGCATGAGCGCGTAGTGGCGTTCGGCGCGGGGCTGATGGGGAGCGGGCATGGGCGCGGGGAGAAGCTGGCCATGTTCGCGGAGACGCGCGCGGACTGGTTTATCGCGATGCAGGGCGCGTTTCAGCACGGGCTTGTCGTGGTGACGGTGTACGCGTCTCTAGGGACGGACGCGCTGGTTCATTCGCTTAACGAGGTGAGCTTATTACGAGGATGAGTTGACTGACGGGCAGGGGCGTTTCAGCACGAGCTCGTGGTGGTGACGGTGTACGCGTCGCTGGGGACGGACGCGCTGGTGCACTCGCTTAACGAGGTGTGGGTTTAACGAGGATGAGTATTCAAAGTCTCGAGTAGGGGGCGTTTCAGCACGGGCTTGTGGTGGTGAGGGTGAATGTTGAAACACGGATAGGGGGCAGGAAAGGAAGGGTAAGGACTTGGCTGATCTGCAGTTTTGTGGTTGGATGCGGTTGAATGTGGTTGAATACGACTCTCCCATGCTTAATTACTTGCAAACGTACCTGCCAACTTCACATCCTGCTTGCTCCTTCTCTTCGCCTCGTTCCCCTTCTCTGCTTCTAATCTTCTCCTGTCACCCTATTCTTCTCTTCTCGTTTCTCTTCTTCTCTCCTTCTCGTCTTGTCTTGTTCTCTTCGTCCGTTATGTTCAGACCGAAGTGGCAACAGTGGTGTGTGATAGGAAGCAGTTTGACAAGCTCGCAGAGGTACACTCCCGCCTCGCTACAGTGAAGCGCGTTATAGTCATGGCGGAGCAGAAGGCTGATAACGAGACTGTCAGTAACGAGGATCCGTTTCCCAGCACCATAGGGAGTATCACAGTGATTCCCTATGCTGACGTGGAGGCTAAAGGGGTGGAGAGTCCAGTGGAGCCGAATCTGCCGCAGTCGTCTGACCTGGCATTCATCATGTACACGTCAGGATCCACTGGAGTTCCCAAGGTACGTTAGCCCAGCCAATCCCTTCGATTCCCAACCATTGCATGCTGATCGCATTCCATCCCATTCCATGCCATCCCATGCCATGCCATGCTGTTCCATACCATGCCATGGCTTCACATCCCGTCCTGTCACTGTCCCCTCCATCTCCTTCCCTCACTTCCGTCCTTCCTGCTCCCCTCCATCTCCGCTTCCGTTCTGCTCGTGCCCCAATGCACTCCCCCATTCCACAACCCCCCCCACTTCTCCATCCCATACCATTCACCTCCCCCTCAGGGTGTGATGATGACACATGGCAACCTGGTGGCAGTCTTTGCAGCAGTCATGGCGCTCGTGCCCGATGCAGATGAGAACGATGTGTACATCGCCTACCTGCCGCTCGCCCACTCCTTGGAGCTCACTGCCGAGGTGGGTTGCGTTTGTAGGCTCGTTAGTGGGATAGCTCTTGGCTCTTTGCAGCAGTCATGGCGCTCGTGCCCGATGCAGATGAGAACGATGTGTACATCGCCTACCTGCCCCTTGCGCACTCGCTGGAGCTCACAGCAGAGGTGAGCGAGCTGTGCTTGAAGGCTCTGTGGGTGTGATGGCTCTCTCGACTTGCCTCTTTGGTCCAGCCGCTCACTGCTGAGGTGCGCTGCGTTTGTAAGCTGTGTGGACATGAGGCTCTTTGGTCTGTTCTCTCGTGCCAGATGCCGATGAGAACCATGTGTGCGCTGCCTACCTGCCCCTTGCACACTCCCTCGAGCTCATAGCCGAGGTACGTTGTACTGCTGGTCTTAGGCTCTCTGGGTACGTGAAGCAGCACCATACTGCCAATGCGAACCATGTGTGCTGTGCATTGCCTACCTGCCCCTTGCACACTCCCTCGAGCTCACTGCGGAGATGCGCTGCATTTGTAAGCTCTGTGGATACGACCCTCTTTGATCTGCTCGCTCGTCCCGGATGCCGATGAGAATGATGTGTACGCTGCCTATCTGCCCCTCGCACACTCCCTTGAGCTCACTGCGGAGGTTAGTGTTGGATAAGCAATGGGTATATGAAGCGATGGTTACACATTGCCTATCTGCCGCTTGTGGGTTCAGGCTCTCTGGTGTATGAAGCACCATGATGCTTTTTGAGTCGACTCTAAAGTCACCTGGCAGTGTGAAGCACCATGGTGCGGTGGAGAGCGATGAGTGCATTGCCTTCCTGCCCCTCGTGTACTCCCTTGAACTCACTCACTGCCTATGTGACCACCTTCGATTGCCTCTCTCTTGTACTCCAAGCATTTCGAGCCTTCTGCAGAGGCAAGTGCTGTGTTAGCTGCCTCGTGTCTCGAGGTATCTTATTACCAATCAGGTCGAAGCTTGAATCTGTAGGTGAGGACACCTTTTGCTCATCGCTCCCTTCTGCCCTCATCTGCAACAACCCCCCCCACACACACACACCCCTCTCCCACCCCCAACTGTTCGTCTATTGCACCAGACGGGCATGGTGTCGATAGGAGCAACCATCAGGTACGGGTTGCCCCTCTCTCACGGTGATCGATGGGGCAGGCGAGCTCAAGGCCAGAGGCAAGGGCGACCTGTCCGCTCTGCGCCCCACCCTCACGCTTGCCCTCTTTCCAACCCACCCACATGGCATGGTATCCCCCTTCCAACCAGACTGGCATGGTATCCATAGGAGCAACCATCGGGTATGGCTCGCCTCTCACGGTCATCGATGGGGCAGGCAAGCTCAAACCCGGGGGACAGGGCGATCTGTCTGCTCTACGCCCCACCCTCATGGCTGCCGTGCCCGCCATTCTGGATAAGATCCGCGACGGGGTCAGGAGGAAGGTGAGTGCGGTGGTATGTGGTGATGTGCGGTGGTGTGCGGTGAAGAGAGGTGAGCCTGTGGTAGAAAGCAGAGTGTTGTAGTGATGGCTGCTGGGGCCAACGGCGATCTGTCTGCGCTGCGCCCCACCCTCATGGCTGCCGTGCCCGCCCTTCTGGATAAGATCCGCGACGGGGTCAGGTGGAAGGTGAGTGCGGCGATGTCCGTCCACGCTGCACCCCATCCTCATGGCTGCCGTGCCTGCGATTCTTGATAAGATCCGCGATGGGTTGAGGCATGAGGTGGGTGCAGTGGTGTGCGGTGGTGAGCGGTGGTGAGCAGTGGTGTGCAGTGAAAAAAGGTAGGTCCATGGTAGGAAGCAGAGCGTCACTGTGATGGCTGGTGGGGCCAAGGGACATTCGTCCACATTGCGCCCCACCCTCATGGCTGCTGTGCCGACCATTTTCGTATAGGATCCGCACTGCGTTCAGGTGCAATGTGAGTGGATCGACAATACAGCTGTCACTGTAATGCGTGATCCCCCATTTCTCCCTCCCTCCCTCCCCTTCTCCTGCCTCTCCTCCAGATGGCAACGCAGTCCCCCACGGTGCAGCAGCTGTTCGACCTCGCTTACAGCCGACGATTGGCGGCGATCAACGGCAGCTGGGCGGGCGCGTGGGGGCTGGAGAAGCAGCTGTGGGACGCGCTTGTCTTCAAGCGCATCCGGGCAGCGGTGGGCGGCAGGCTGCGGTACATGCTGTCGGGGGGAGCGCCCCTGTCGCCTGACACTCAGCGGTTCATCAACGTGTGCTTTAAGTGAGTGCTTCTGTATCCCAGTGTGTGTGCGTGTCACGAGTAGGAGAGTGGTGTGTTATACTGAAAGAAGAGCATGCAGCATGGCAAGCTGCGCTACATGCTGTCGGGAGGAGTGCCCCTGTCGCCTGACACTCAGCGGTTCACTAACATGTGCTTTAAGTGAGTGCACCTGTGCGCTTTCCCACCTGACACCCCGGCCGTTTCTGTTTCTCTCTTACGCCGTTCTTCTCATCTTGGGTTCGTGTCTGATTTTCCCCATTTTTCTCATTTCTTGTGTGCCGTTTCTTGTTTTCCAACTTGCAGCGTTCCCATTGGCCAGGGCTATGGCCTCACAGAAACATGCTCTGGAGGAACCTTTGCAGAGTTTTCTGACACCTCTGTGGGGAGAGTTGGCCCTCCTATCCCCTGCTGCTACATCCGGGTGAGTTCTGTGTTCCCTGAACGTTTACATTTGCACTGCTGCTACACCCACGTGGGTCCCACAGTGCTGCTACACCCAGGTGGGTCCTACACTGCTGCTACACCCAGGTGAGTCCCACAGTGCTGCTACACCCATGTGGGTCCCACACTGCTGCTACACCCAGGTGAGTCCCACAGTGCTTCGCTGCTCTCCCTCTCCCTTTTGAACTGGGAGGAGGGCAAGTACGCCCTGACAGATCAGCTGTGTTACCATGTTACCACGACATGCCTCAATGATCCATGATCCCCGCTCTCCCCGCGTTCCCTCTTTCTCCATCTGACCCAGCTGGTGGACGGGCACGAGGGCAGCTACCGCGTGTCAGACCAGCCTACCATGTTACCATGTTATGCATCGATGTTACATCATCTCTCCCCTACTTTCTCTTTTTGCATCCGACCCAGCTGGTGGACGGGCACGAGGGCAACAACCGCATGGTGCCACTATGTAACCGCACCCATACTCACTGGTTAACTTCCTCTGCTCTTTGAATCACTTTGCATCCAACCCAGCTGGTGGACTGGCATGAGGGCAACTACCGTGTGACAGACCAGCCATTGCCGCGGGGGGAGATCATGATCGGAGGGCCGTGCGTCACCCCCGGGTACTGGAAGAACCAGGAGGCCACAGATGCCGTGTACTCAGTGAGTGGGTGTGCACAGGGGTGTGAAGCGGTGGGGATGAGTGTGATCGGAGGGCTGTGTGTCAACCCAGGGTACTGGAAGAACCAGGAAACCACAGATGCTGTGTATTCAGTGTGTGGGTGTGCACAGCGGTATGACAGTGGGGGGTATGAGTTTGTCAGACCAGCCTCTATCGAGAGGGGAACTCATGATCGGAGGGCTGTGCGTTACCACGCGGTAGGAAGAACCAGGAGGCCACAGATGCCGTGTACTTGGTGAGTGGGTGTGCGAAAAAGGGGGGAAGAGGTGGGGAAGAAAGAGTGGGGGGGAAAGGGTGTGGGAGGGTGCGGGGCTGAGAAAGGTAGCATGGGTAGACAGTGAGGGCATCCGGTGGTTTGCAACGGGCGACGTGGGGGAGGTGCATCCAGACGGGACAAACTGCATTGTGGGAAACACTTCATTCTGTTCTTCCTTCCGTTCCACCTTTTTTTTCGTTCCACCTCTTTCTTTCCCCCTTTCCTTTCTTTTCAGGTGGACAGCAAGGGCATACGGTGGTTTGCAACGGGCGACATAGGGGAGGTGCACCCGGACGGGGTGTTTCAGATCATCGACAGGAAGAAGGACATTGTTAAGCTGCAGGCAGGGGAATACGTGTCGCTGGGGAAGGTAAGGCGTGAGGACAGACAAAATCACAAAGAATACTGCCGTCTGTGCGTGTGTGTTTATCTAGATTGCACATCTTCCTTTTCTTTTCTCTCCTCTTTCTTGGGCTTCGTAAACCTCTTCAGTGCGAAAGCGACAGTAAAAAATAAAGTGATTGAGCCTCTGTGTGAACATGCCCAACAACACCTTGCAGTCTCTTGTCTTCATTTTCCTTCCCGTATCCATTCTCTGATCGTATTCCCAACACCAGGTGGAGGCAGTGCTGCAAGTGAGCTCCTTTGTCGAGAACGTGATGCTCTACGCCGACCCGTTCAAGACCTTCACCATAGCGCTCGTGGTGCCGTCCAAGCCGGCCCTGGTTGCCTGGGCCAAGGCACAGGGTGTGGATAGCTCTGACTATGCTGCACTGTGTGCGAATCCCGATGCGGTCTCTCAAGTGCTCGAGTCTCTTGCTGAGGTGAGGTGGCTGGATGTAGTCCAATGGTCGTGCATAGTAGGGTCATCTTGCTCCTCCTTCATTCTCTCTTTAGATACAACTTGGTTTTGTTCGAGTATTTCCATGCTTTAATTGAGCGGATTTTTCACCTGGTTTTGCTGTGCCTTTCTGTGAATCAAACAGGTGAGCAAAGAAGGCAAACTCCAAAAGTTTGAAGTGCCTGCTAGGATCAAGCTGCTCCAGGAGCCATGGACCCCTGACAGCGGCCTGTTGACAGCAGCTTTGAAGCTAAAGCGGGATGTTGTTCGCCGAAAGTTTCAGCAGGACCTTGATGCTCTGTATGACTAGCTGACTTGACATATATCAAACTTGTAAGTGCCGTAGGTAGATGATTTGTTCGCCTGATAGGTTTGGTCCTTGAAACTTACAAATGAACTGCAGTTGTATCGATGTTCTCGGCAGCGAATATAGACCATAAGATGGTTTTGCGCGACATGCTCCGATGGATTCACCATCGACGGTGCCTACAGTCCTGCTGAGCTGATCCCAACACCGAACGTGGAGGATCAAACCGAAACAAACAAACGGTGACCAATCAATGACAGACTTGTTCGGGTTTGATGCTGCCCAACATGTGAATTCGACGAACCAGGTGCTCCCTTTTCCCACAGTCCGACTCTTGTGCCCTTCCCCAGTGACGACATCGCCGAAAGGACCAAGGGGGACATTGATGCATGCAAGGTCACCTTCCCCGATAATTTTCCTCCGACGAATTCAAACTCTTACTCTGCTCTGATTGGCTCGGCTGACTAGCTTTCTGTGTCGGCACCACCAATCCCTAGCTGCAAAGCGAGTTTCGGCGTGTTTATCTCATTCGTAGGGTTACAGCTTCATGAGGTCGAGGAAGCTCGCAGCCAGGCGACACTGCCGTCATCACAGTCGGGCGAATACAGAAACATCGTCGGCGAGTCGTTGGACAGCATGTGCGAGGAGTGCCATTTCCCCCTTCCGCTCAAAACCTAGGCTCACCACCGCGATCATATCCCCATGCCCATGCTTACTCTCCAAGCAGGCGCGCACGCGGTAGGCGCAAGACCAGGGGACAGACAGACGGGCGGAAGTGAAATTCGAAGACTTTCTTCCGCCACCTTGCCCCTCCCATCCCTCGTCCAGCCGCGCCTCACCCCCCCTACGCTCCAGACTTCGTCCACGCCTTTCCTCTTACGCTCCCCCCCCCCCCCCCCCCCCCCAAAAAAAATCCGCCCTCCGCGCACGTTGGGGATTTTCGTCTTCACGCCCACAAGCCAAATCGTTTTGCCGACGGATGATGAAATACGTCGGTCCCGCCAATTCAACAACACATCGAAAGAGTGTGAGACTGCTAGATCACTGCTCTTCTCAGCTTGAAGCTCCTCGCTTCTCACACTTCTTGCCTTATATTCGTGCAACCGCAGCTCCCTTCTCATCGCGAAGAGAAGAAAGTAAAGCGCGAAGAACAAGAGCCGGTTTTCGTTTCGGAATTAGCTGAATTATAACTGTCGCATCACAAGCCGTTGTTTTTGTTGCTCTCCCTCACCATGGCCGGATCGCCTTTTCCCCGCGCGCACGAGAACGGACATGCAACACAACATGGCACCCACCCCAAAGGTGACCGTCGTTTAGCCTCCAACATCGCGTCGGCTTTCCGAACGCACTTCATTTTTCGCGAGACTTCCCGTCTGTCTCTGCTCCGCTGCTTTTCTCCAGCAGTTCTTCCTGTGGCTTCTTTATGAAACGTCCGGCTAATCAGACCGGAGACGATTGTGCGACGATTGTTAACCGTCCGATTGTGTGTTGATGATCGCAGAGGTGTGCATCGTGGCGGCGGCGCGCACGCCCATGGGCGGCTTCATGGGCGCCCTCTCTTCCCTCCCTGCCACCCAACTCGGATCGGTCGCCATCAAAGGTGCGCTATGCGATTTGCGCTACGCGGAGTTCAGCGCTACGCGTTACGAGTGTTTCTCCAGATTCTTGCCTCCTGTGAGAAAGCGAGAACCTTGTCGTTCATGTGAGATTTCTCCAGTGAGCAGTGCCTTTCTTTTCCCGTTTCCACGAATTCAAGCCGACCTTTTACATTTTCAATCACCAATCTGCCTCAAATTAACGAGTTTCCTGACGAAGTTCGTTCTCTCCTCGTCTCCCTCCCCGCAGAGGCCGTGCGGCGCTCCGGCCTGGAGCCTGCTGACGTGGAGGAGGTGATCATGGGCAACGTGCTCAGCGCCAATCTCGGTCAGGCACCCGCGCGCCAGGCGTCCATGGGCGCGGGCCTCCCCGAGAGCGTCGTCGCCACCACCGTCAACAAAGTCTGCGCGTCGGGAATGAAAGGTGCGGACAGGCTTTATCGGTAAACCTATTATTTTCTTTGAGTTTTCTTTTTTTTGTCCAGGCGGTGGTCATGCAGCTTCCGCAGAATGCTGCATTTTCTTTCAAGCGTGCCGTTGCCCACGTCGCTTCGTCGGAGAATCGCTGTGCGTCGCCTTTCCGCCCTCCGCCCAAATCTCTCCCTTCGCTCCCTTTCCCCCCTCTCTCCGCAATTTCCTCACGTCCCCGGTCTTCGCCCTCATCCCCATCCCCCCCCCTGCCCTCATCCCGTCCCCCCCGACACAGCCATCGCGCTGGCGGCGCAGTCGATAATGCTGGGGATAATCGAGGTCGTGGTGGCGGGCGGCATGGAGAGCATGAGCAACGCGCCGTACTATCTCTCCAACTTTCCCCACTCCCTTTCCCCTCGTTTCCCCCGTCTCCTCCATCTCCGCTGCTCTGTTTTCCTGTTTCCTGTCCCCCATCTCCACTGTCTTCCACAGCCATCGCACTGGCGGCGCAGTCAATCATGCTGGGAATCAACGAGGTCGTGGTGGCGGGCGGCATGGAGAGCATGAGCAACGCGCCGTATTACCTCTCCAAGGCGCGCGGCGGCTACCGCTTCGGCAACGCGGAGATCATGGACGGCATGCAGCGGGACGGGCTGTGCGACGCGTACGCGGACGACCCCATGGGATGCTTCGCGGAAACCTGCGCGGAGGAGTATAACATCTCGCGCGCGGATCAGGACGACCACGCTGTGCTGACACATCAGCGCGCCGCAGCGGCGAATGCGGAGGGGGCGTTTGAGTGGGAGATCGTACCGGTGGAGGTGAAGGTGGGGAAGGGCAAGCCGGCTTTAATCGTCGATCGCGACGAGGCGTGCGCCAAGTTCGACGAGAAGAAGCTGCGGAATTTACGGCCGTGTTTTAAGGAGCACGGGACGGTCACGGCGGGGAACGCGTCGGCGATTAGCGACGGCGCCGCGGCCGTGGTGCTGACGAGCCGCGGCAAGGCGGACAGCCTGGGGCTCAAAGTGCTCGCCGTGATTCGCGGCTTCGCTGACGCAGAGCAGGTGAGGGCCGTTGCCAAGCCGTTGCGTGGCGCGAGAGACATGGGAAGGGCAAACGGGGGTGAGAATGCCATCAGTTCACATCTCCCAGGATGCACATTCCCCCTCCCCTCCCCCGCTCCGCTGCTCCCCTCCCCCCCTCCCCCCCTCCCCCCACTTCCCCAAGTCCCGCCCCCGCTTCGCCACATCTCCCGCGCCTCTTTCCCCGCGCCTCGTTCCCCGCGCCTTGAAGCAGCAGTGCCATCCCGCGCACACTCTGCAGCACCATGTCGTGTGCGCGCATTGATGTTCCCCCCTCCCTTGTCTTGTGCTCCTATCCTCCCTTCCCCCCCCCCTTCCCCGCGCTTTCAGGCCCCTGAGCGCTTCACCACGGCCCCCGCGCTCGCCATTCCGCGCGCCCTGAAGCATGCGCGCATCGACCCCGCCGAGGTCGACTGCTGGGAGATCAATGAAGCCTTCTCCGTACGTGCCACCGCCCCTCCTGCCACCCCTCCTGCCGCCGCCCCTTCCGTCCCTCCTGCCGCCCCTCCTGCCGCCCCTCCTGCTTTCCTGCTCCCAGTTGCATCTCACCTTCTTCTCCTTCCTTCACCTGCTTCATCTCCACCTGCCTTCTCTTACTCGGGTTGTACCCGTCTCAACCTACTCTCGCCTGCCCTCCTCTCTCTACCCCCTCCCACCTCCTCTCCTCTCCCCTGCTCCCGCTCTCCATCCCCTCCTACCGGCCTTCGCTCTTCCTCCTCCCCCCGCTGCTTCACTCATGTGACTTTCGCCCCTGCCCACTCCATTTTCCCTGCCTGCTCCACTCGCCCCCTCCCACCCCCTCCTCCGCGCTTCCAGGTGGTGGCACTGGCCAATCAGAAGCTGCTGAACGTGCCGGCAGATAGACTCAACATGCATGGAGGCGCCGTGGCGCTCGGGCACCCGCTGGGGTGCAGCGGGGCGCGCATCATCGTCTCGCTGCTGGGGGTGAGTGTGGCTTAGGGTATGCGTGTGTGAATGTGATGCGCGTGAGTGTCGCTTGAGCTTGGGGTAGGGGTGGGTGGCAGAGTGGGTAACGGGCTATATTTGGAATGTGCGTGGAGGCACTGTGGCGCTCGCGCACCCATATGACTGGAGTGAGTGTGCACGTGAGTGTGGCTTGGAGCAGGAGTGTGTGGAAGCAGTGGGGCTGAAGGGACCTTCATAAGGGGCAGGGGGTGTGAGTGGCATTGTTCTGCTGCTTGGCGTGAGGGGCACTGGTGAGTGTGATGACCGTGGGTTGGATAAGGACATGCTAGTTTTCCTTCACTCACGGGTTCTGGTCTGATGCTAATACTTCCCTTACTGCGGAACCACCCCTTTGTGTTTCCACCAATCAGGTGCTGCGGCGGAAGGGTGGCCAGATTGGTGTTGCTGGTGTGTGCAACGGGGGAGGTGGAGCCTCGGCCATGGTCATCGAGGCCGAGTAAGCATTTTCTTCCCTTCTCTCGCGTTGTTCTTTCTCTCCACCTCTCTCCTTCCCTCCGCCCTTCCTTCCACCATTTTCACACCTGTTCATGCGCTTAATCTCTGTGTTAACATGCTTCGTCCTCCCCATCCCCCCTTTTACTCCATTGAGCCGGTTGCTTCCAGGCAGACACTCACCATGTATCTGCTGTTGTCTGCGTGTCTTGTTTGTGTGCGTGACACTTATCTATGTGCAGATCCTTGGATCACTCCACTGCCCATGCGCACCTGTGATCTAAGGGGTTCTTTCAGGATACCTGAATATGCGGATTGCTTCTATTCGTGTGTTTCCTTTTATGGTTTGCTCCTTGTGTGAGCGGTTGAGGCCTCTCAATAGGGTGCCTTGTGATTGGTGCTCCCTTGAGCCGCCTCAACAGCACACCCTGTTGAATGCTCCTGGCTCCCTTTGTCTACTTGGACTAGAATCCTCCAGCAAATGCAATCTCTCCCGTTGCTTGTGGAAAACGTGTAATGTACTTCTATGATACATGGACGGAAAACGTTTTTTCGTTGAAGTGTACATAACAAGCTTAGGTCTGTTCACATTTTAAATAAATGATGGACTAACGGTTTGAATCGGTGGAAACTCAGAATCGTCCTCAACCCGTTTTTAACGTACCATTGTTACGGGTGCAATGAATCGAGGTAGCGAGAATTGCACTAAGGTGTCAAACGAGTACAAAATGTGAGCGAAGGCATGAGCGAGCATTTATACGCGAAACATGCAAAACGGTAACGCGGTGCGTGCGAACTTGCTAGTGCTACGCTGGAGCGAGGCTCGGGCTAGTCCCGAAGCGTAGGCCGATACGGCCATGCCAGCAGTGCGAGGTTTGGCAAAACAGTGCGCGCGAAGTCGGCGAATAGTCGGCTGTTGCTGTACGCGATGTAGTCGGCTCCGTAAGGAATGCCTGAGAAAATTCCTTACACTACCCCCCCCCCTTTAAGAAGCCCCCTCCGCTACGCGAGTGCGTGTATATCGCGGAATCCCCGGTTTCTCAAGTACACTTGCAGGGCAGGGTGATTTTCGATGTTGCTCAGGGGCACCCAGCTATCTTCAGTTGGCGTGCGGTCTTTCCAGCGAACGAGGAATTCAATCCTCCTGATTCCCGTGGGGTGGCGGATCCGATGGCTCAAAATTTTTTCGGGCTCGATGATCGGCTCTGATGCAGGGCGAGTCATTGATTGTGGCCGGTGACGCGGCAGTTGACTCGTGGTCGGGATGTATGGGCGAAGTAGGCTGACGTGGAACGAAGGTCTGATGTACCAGTCAATTGGCAACAGTAGGTGCGCGGTGACGGGTGTGATCATGTGACTGATTTGGAATGGTCCACAGTAGCGCGGTCGTAATTTTGGTACGTCGGGCAGTCGCAGATTTTGCGTGTCGAGTAGCACGTAATCTCCAGATTGATACGTGACGGGGCGGCGGTGGCGATCAGCGTTGCGCTTAGCGATGACGTTGGCCTTTTTTATTGCTTCGGCGGCTCTGGCGCGGGCAGCTTGCAGGATTTCGGCGAATTGTTGTGCGCGTGGCGTTGGGTTGTCCGGACTCGGCGTCATGGGCACTGTGGGGTTCTGCCCATAGTTCAGGTAGAACGGGGACTGCTGCGTCGTGGCTGATGTGGCGTTGTTGTACGCGAACTCGATCAGCGGCAGCTGCTGCTCCCAGGTCGTGGGGTCGTCGCACGTGGCACGAATCAACTGCTCCATCGTCTGATTCGTCCGCTCCGTTTGGCCGTCGGTCTCGGGGTGGTACGACGAACTGAACTGTAGCCTGGTCCCGAACTGCTCCCAGAGGTTCTTCCAGAAGTTGCTGGTAAACTTCGTGTCCCTGTCGCTGATAATTGCTGCTGGTATCCCGTGCAGGCGAACAACGGCTGCGATGAACAGGCGAGCGGTCTCTTCGGCTGAGATCGACTTTTTGCACGCAGCGAAGTGTGCCATCTTCGTCAACCTATCCACGACGACCATCACCGCGTCGTTACCCCCAGGGTTCGAAGGTAACCCTGTGACGAAGTCCATGGTTACTTGCTGCCAGGCGCGTTCGGGCGGTGGGATCGGCTGCAATTGACCCGCCTTCCGCTTCCTTGAACTCTTCATCACCTGACACGTCGGGCACGAGCCCACGTGCTGCTGTACGTCGGTCAACAGCTCCGGCCAGTAATAGTACCGCTGCAGTTGCTGTCGTGTTTTTTCTACCCCGAAATGTCCCGAGGTAATCCCGTCGTGTGCCTCCTGCAGTAGCAGCTCCCTCAGTAGTGAGTACGCGGGTACCCAAATGCGGTTGGTGCCTGTTTTTACGTAATAAACTCCTTTTGCTTCTGCCAGTTGCTGTGAATTTCCGGTCGTGAAAAATGGGTCGGTGCGGTATCCGTGGGTGAATAGGCCAGTTAAAAGCGGGTTGGTCTGGGCGAGTAGGATGGCGTGGAGTTGGGCGTTGGGGCGGGTGAGAGCGTCGGCGATGTTGGATGCTCCTTTTTTGTACGTGACGGTGTAGTGAAAATTGGACTCGAGATAGTCCAACCAGCGAATCTGTCGTGGGTTGAGATTCGGTTGGGCGCGAAGGTACTGTAGTGAGCGGTGGTCTGTCCGTACTGTCACGTCGGCACCAGTCAGGTAACATCGCCAAACTTTGAACGCGTGCACGATCGCTAGCATCTCGCGGTCGTGTATCGGGTAGTTACGTTCGGGCGGGTGTAACTTGCGGGACTCGTACGCGATTGGCTGGAGGCCATTCCCGAAATCCTGCAACAGTACTGCTCCCACAGCGATGTCACTTGCGTCGGTGACGAGCTCGAACGGACGGTGGGGATCTGCAATGTGAAGGACGGGCGGGGAGCACAAAATATTTTTGAGGGCCGAGAAGGCAGCTTGCTCTTTCTCCCCCCACGTGTACTCAACCCCCTTCCTCAGCAGGTCAGTCAACGGGGCAGTCAGTTTCGCCATGTCGGGGACGAACCGGCGCACGTAGTTGACAAACCCCAGGAAACTCTGCAACTCGGTCAAGTTGGTCGGCGCGTGCCAAGCCTGAATCGTCGCAATTTTCTTCGGGTCTATTTCCACTCCTGCAGCTGAAATAACATGTCCCAAAAACTCCAGGCGGTCCTGTAAAAACTCACACTTAGATGCTTTGGTCAGTAGGCGGTTTTCACTCAGGATTTTAAAAACTGCTTCGATGTCTTGTAAGTGCTGTGCTCTGTCAGGGCTGTAAATCAGTATGTCGTCCAGATAAACGATGACGCACTTATCTAAAAGCGGGCGGAATGCTTCGTTCATGGTCATTTGGAAAGTGGCTGGGGCGTTGGTCAGTCCGAATGGCATGACGGTGTATTCGAAGGATCCGTAGCGTGTTCGGAATGCGGTTTTAGGGCAGTCGGGTGGGTTGACGCGGATTTGGTGGTAGCCTCCTCGGAGGTCGATTTTCGAGAAAACCCGGGCTGTGCGCATTTGGTCGATCAGTTCGTCGGCTCGTGGGATGGGGTAACGGGATTTGATGGTAACCCTGTTCAGTGCCCTGTAGTCGATGCACATGCGAAAACCCCCGTCCTTTTTCGGTGTGAACAGTATTGGTGCGGCGAAAGGCGACGAACTAGGGCGAATGAATTCCTTTTCTAGCAGGTAATCGAGCTGCTTCCTTAGTTCGTCTAGTTCGGGTTGGGTCAGTCGGAACTGTCGCTGTACTGTTGGCTGTGCCCCCGGTTCCAGTTCTATCCTGTGATCGTGCGGTCGCTGAGGTGGCAGTCCCGTCGGCAGGTCATCCGGGAAAATGTCACTGTACTGTTGTAACAGTGCCGCCAGGTCACTCGGTACGTCGGTCAGCAGTTTCTGTAAATCGCCTCCCTTGTCTGCTGCCTCGGCTTCCCGAATGTCAACCGCGTACACGTCGGCTCCGGCCGCAACAGCGCGTTTCATCGTGATCGCGTTGACACGCACCGACGAAGACTCAGGCGAGCCCCAGCGAGGTAAGGCGATGCTGTTACCGTTCACTCGCACGGTGCAGTCACCCGTCGTCCAGTCAATTCGCGGGTTGTGTCGTCGCAGCCAATCACGCCCGAGTAAAATGTCGGTTCCGTCGAGGGTCGTTGCGAGCATTTCCTGACTAAACGTGAAGTTACCCCCGCATCGAATCCGAACTCGGTCTACGCGTTCCCGTATTGCCAGCGGCGTGCCGTCTACCAGTCGTGCGTCGATCTCAGGTAAGCATCGGTCCAGTGGCAGTCGCAGTTTTCGTGCTGTAGCAGTGTTAATGAGGCTGTGGCTGGCTCCCCCATCTACGAAGATTTTAACTAAGTCCGTCCCAATTTTCCCACTGAGCAGTATAGGGCTATCTACCGTGGTACCCTCCTTATTCGGCCGGGTGTGGTCGATTGCGTGAACCGGCACAATCACTCGGTGAGGGTCGGTTGGGTCGGGCGAGCGGCGTGACCTGTCAGTAGAGGGCCCGTCTGCTACTGACTTCCAGCGTTTCCCTGCTGCTTGGTCTGTGTCTGCTGCTCAGCTTCCCCCTTTCCCTTAGCGTTTTCCGGGCATTCGCTCTTGCGATGTCCCGGCCGATTGCACGCAAAGCAGCGCCCTTTGAACGGTGCGGCAGCGGCATTTGCGGCGACGGCGCGTATCGTGGCGCTCTCGTTCGTCCCACGAGGCCGATGTCCCCAGGTGTTGTTTCCGTAGGACCCCGGTCTCGGTCGGCGAAAGAAGTCGAGCTTCTCCGCCATAGCGAGAATTTCCTGAAACTCAGTGACGCCGCGAAGCTGGATTTCCTGAGCGATGTCCTGCTTCAGGCCGCCGATGTAGCGGTCGATGCGTTCGCTCTCATGCATGTAGCCCACCTGCTCGCATAGCGCCAGAAATCCGCTCGTGTAATCCTGGACGGAACCGAGTTGGCGCCAAGTGCGGAGCTTCTGTCGCGCCGAGATCGAGGCCGCGATTGGCTCAAATCGAGCGCGCAGACCTGCGCACCACGCGTCCCACGTGCGATACTGGGGCACCTCCACGAAATACGACGGCGCCCAGGGTCCGGTTTGTCCTTCCCGTGTCGGTAGTGTCGCGTAGTCGGTCGGCTTCGTGACGATGACGCGCCACCAGTCCATGGCGGGTCCTCGCAGCAACGACACGGCGTATCGAATCTTCGCCGAGTCCTCCGAGACGTAGTTGGCGTCGAAGAAAACATTCATTGTGAATAACCACGCCTGAACGGTAGGACCACCCCGTTGACTCGGGTCAAAGCATGGCGGGCGCTGCGGTTTCAGCGGCATCAGTGACGGCAGTCCCGAATCGTGGGTTGGTGCCGAAATCGTGACGCGAGGCTGACTTGGGGCCGCAGGCGTCGCTCTGGGGTGTGTCGTGCCGTGGTCGTCGTCTCCGTCGGGGCGGACAACGCCATCACTGGCCGCGCTCGCGGGTTGCCCCACACTCCCGTGTTGTGATGTTGAGGGTGCAGGTTGAATCGGAGTGCCAGGTGCTTGGGATTGTGCTCTCATGAGGTCATTTTGCAGTGATGAGCGTTCTGCCGTCAATGCCGCGATTTCCTCGGAGCTTTCGTGCAGTTGTCGCAGCAGATCGTTCAAACGCTCCTGCGTGAGAGTGGTGACGTCGATGTTTTCGGCCATGACGAAGGGCGTCGGCTCGTCTTAGTCTAGGCGCAGTCGTGGCTGCACGCGTTTACGAGAGAACGCGAGGACAGCGGCTCCTAGGGGCTAAGGTGCGTGAGTCCCTTCGAGTGAAAAATCAAAAGTTGATTTCCTGGTGTGCGGAGATGCGCGGTCCGAAAGAAAGGGGCTCTGATAACCAAGTGTTACGGGTGCAATGAATCGAGGTAGCGAGAATTGCACTAAGGTGTCAAACGAGTACAAAATGTGAGCGAAGGCATGAGCGAGCATTTATACGCGAAACATGCAAAACGGTAACGCGGTGCGTGCGAACTTGCTAGTGCTACGCTGGAGCGAGGCTCGGGCTAGTCCCGAAGCGTAGGCCGATACGGCCATGCCAGCAGTGCGAGGTTTGGCAAAACAGTGCGCGCGAAGTCGGCGAAGTTCCGTTAGCAGTAACGGGCGAATAGTCGGCTGTTGCTGTACGCGATGTAGTCGGCTCCGTAAGGAATGCCTGAGAAAATTCCTTACAACCATGTACGTAAAACTGTGACCCGCCCTTATTTCACTCACGCACTCTTCTTGCGAGCTGGCTGTAGTCAAGTGGTCCTTCGAAGAATATGTACGAACATGACGTCATCAGCCCAACTTCCTCGCTCTTGCCTAGCTCCCGCATCAGTTTTTCCTGCATTCCCGCCATCTGTCATGTCAAACTGATTGTGACTCACACAGATCAACGGCTCACAATTGTTTGGTGGCGCTGCTGACAGAGGAACCCAGCGCAGCAGCTTCGGAACAGATTGTCTTTCGCTACTATGAAGTTACAGATAAACGCTTGTCGCCAGCTCTTCGTCGAAGGGCGTGTCAGAGGGAAACGCAGGGATTCGCATAGCAGACTAGGCTGTTCGCTGTTTCTCCTCGGAATCATTTGCTGAAGTTTGTTCAATCCATGGCGTCGAGTATCTTCGTCCTCCCCATTCGCATCTCAATCTATTGTTCAAGCAGTTTTTAATAGACTTCTGGAAACGAATTTAGGCTGTTGAACTGCAGACTTCTGGGTTTGTGAAAACCGAGCTTGAGATTCGGTTTCCACCTGAGTTGTGTCTCAGCCATTGTTGAAGCGACAATCCCGTGATTTGTATATATCCGAAGAGTACTAGCAACGCGCTTTCACGATCTCGTAGGCACAAGCTTAGTTTGAGACGTCTTAGAAGTAGCCTTCACGCTTTCAATCTTCAAATAAGCATGTCGAACCTCTTAGGTCCCTCCGGCACCTCAACGTTCCCGTCACCGCTTTTCGAGGCGACTCAAAACTCGACGTTCCCGTCGCCAACCTTCTCCAGCGCACCTTGGGATTCCATGTTCTCGCCGGCGCAAGGATGCGCCGCGACTCCTTCCGCGATTCCCCCCTCTGACTGGGCTCTGAATCCCGACCCTCCGGCAGTAGATTGTGCCGTCTCTTCGGCATCGCCGATTTTCTCTTCGTTTCAAACCAACCTCGAGATTGCTCCAGAAGGACTAGCTCACGCCGTTGCATGCTCGGAAGGGATCCACCTGGAGTCTTATCCGCCAGCTCAGGCGGTTCCTTCTGGGTCTTCGGGCCACGTCAGCAGCGCGGCGTCGGGACTTGACTGGGATCAGGTGCGACATCTGCTGGCGGACGGAGAGGAGGCGGAGGAGAAGGGGAATGGATTTGACAGGATGAGTAGATTCGAGAAACACGCTGAAGTTGATGAACGAATAGGGTGGGGAAGGGGTGGCGGAGGGGAAAAGGAGGAGAAGGTCGCTCAGTTAAGATCCGCTCTGCCCGTTGGAGATGAGTTAGTTGTCGCACCTCCTGTCGCTTCCGCTGTCGTTCCCCCTCCCGCTTCCGCTTCCCCCTCCCCGCTGTCTGCTGTCGCGGCGGAGGGCGAGCCGATCTTCCTCCCTGCTTGCCCGGACGGCTGCGATTGCGCAGGCTGCCAGCTGTTGCATTTTCATTGGCTCGACCGGTTCTCCCCCGCACCCTATTCTGGGATTGGGGAGGGCGGCGGATGGGTTGCGCGGAAAGGGGACGACGCGGAGAGGAGCGGAACGGGTGGCGCAGAAGTGCTGTTGCGGAGGGACGCGACGGGCGCAGGAGCAGAGGCGGGCGGAGGAATAGCGATGAGCGGAGGAACGGGGGAAGGCGGAGGAGCGGAGGAGCAGGGGGCGCCTCCTTTCGCACCTCATTTCTCCGCCTCTTCGTTTCCGCCATCGTTTCCGCCATCGTTTCCGCCATCGTTTGCGCCATCGTTTGCGCCCTCCTTCACGCCATCGTTTACACCGTCGTTCACGCCTGCGACCGCCGCCTCGTGCCCGCCTCCCTCCGCGCGACTCCCTGGCCTCGCCTCCCCGAGTCCTCCTCGCAAGCGACCGCTGCTGCTCGCCCCGCCTGTCGCCGCTGCGACGCTGAGCGCCACACGTGGCAGCACACGTGGCGTTACGACTGAGTTGACCACCACACAGTACGTTGCTGGCGAAGAGAGCTTCGCTGGGAGCATTGGTGTGAGCATCGGTGGAAGCACCGGTGTCAAGGCAACTAGCACTGCTGTTAAGACGACCAGCAAAATCGCGTCTGCCGCCCAAAACAGCAGCTTTCCTGGCGCTCGCCGCCCGGCCGACATGTCCTCCAGGCTGGCACAGCTGCTGGAGGAAATCAAATCTCCAGGCCGGGCGGCAGCAGCCAACGCCGCCGTGTCAGCCGCAAATACAGTCGGGGTGGGCTCCTGCACCAGAGATCTGATTCGCCGGCCAGTGATTCGCCAGGTGGCGGGACGCAAGAGGGCGAGTCAGCATCACAGCACCCACAGTCGCCTCAGTAGTGATTCGGGCAGTGAGAACAGCAAGAGTGGTAGTGGTAATGGCAGCTTCAGTGGCAGTGGTAGTGGCAGCGGCAGCGGCAGTGGTAGTGGTAGTGGCAGCGGCAGCGGCAGTGGTAGTGGCAGTGGCAGCGGCAGCGGCAGTGGTAGTGGCAGTGGCAGTGGCAGAAGTGCGAGCGACGGTGTCCCTCCGTCCCCCCCATCTTCCCTCGCCCTCGTTCCCTCGCACTGCTACACCTCGCCACCTGCTGCCGTTGCCTTCGGGTCCATTCTGGGCACGTGTGCAGCAAACCCCTATCCGGGCAGCTTGAACAATCCAGGCAGTCCGGGCAGCCTAGGCAGTCCGGGCAGCAGCAGCAGAAACCAGAAAGGCCCCTTGGAGTCGTTTTCCCGGGTCACCAGCCTGAACCTCTCAGCGGCCCTCCCGCCCCGGGGCGTTGAAGCGTCCCAGGGTCCGACCAGCCTGACCCGCCCTCCTGTCTTCTCGCCATTGCCTTACGCTCCCTCCTTCTCAACCCCTCTCCCTGACCACTTGGCTTACCTAGCCCAAACCGGAAACGTGGGAGGTTCAGATCGGTACCAATTCTTCCAGCACTGTTTACCGCCTGCAGATTCTCCTGCCACGTGGCAGGATGCCACTGGCCGGTCAACGCAGTCAAGCAGGTCAACGGGAGGTGCAAGCGCGGCTTCCAGGAAGCGGAGGGCGAGCTCTGGAGGGGGGAAGGTGGGAGGGGGACAAGGGGAGGGGGGGACAGCGGGGGAGGGCGTCTGGCGGGGGAGCAGTGGGGCTGGCGGGGCGCAATTGACAGGGGCGCGGGCAGGGACAGGGGCAGTGACAAGGGCAGGATCACCAGCAGATTCTTCAGACGGGGCAGTGGCAGGGGCAGGGGCAGGTTCCTTACCGGGTGGAGGACTGGATGGTGCTACGCTGGGGCAGATGTGCCAGATGGGGGGAATGGGCCAGATGGGGGGAATGGGCCAGATGGCGCAGATGGGGCTTGATGCATCTGCGCTTGAGCGCATGGGGGTGAATCCGGGCATGCTGGCGGGCATGGGGGTGGATGCGGGCGTGTTGAGGGGCATGGGCGTGGACATGGGCATGTTGCAAGCCATGGGGGTGGATGCTGCCATGCTGCACAATCTAGGGTTCACTCCTGAAACATTAGAACAGCTAGGCTTGGGGGGCGCGGCTAGCGGTTGTGCTGGTAGTGGTGGTGGTGATGGCGGTGGCGCTGCTGCTGGTGCTGCTGATGCTGCTAGTACGCGCCCTGGTTGCTCTGCTGACGCTTCTGGTGGCGATGGGGAGTGGAGGGGCGAGGACGGGAGGGACGAGGAGGAAGAGATGGAGCAGGGGGAGGAGGAGGAGAGAGGGGGGAGTGGAAGGGGAGGAGGGGAGGAGGAGGAGGTGTCGATGGCAGTGGTGCTGCAGAGGCTGGAAGAGCTGGCAGAGGCCTCCGCAGCACGTGATGAGGTACGTCCCCAAACCAATGGAAATTGTAGCCTTGGAGAGATTTTGGCAGCAAAATGGTAGCAGGTGGTTTTTAAGATTCTCAAAAGCTAGGTGCGGTGCGGCAAAAGCTGAAGGATCTGGCAGAGGCAACAGCAGCACGCGATGACGTCCGTTTCTTCACCAAATTAGCAATTCTTGACCTAGGAGTGCACCTAGGAGTGCACCTAGGAGTGCACCTAGGAGTGCACCTAGGAGTGCACCTAGGAGTGCACCTAGGAGTGCACCTAGGAGTGCACCTAGGAGTGCACCTAGGAGTGCACCTAGGAGTGCACCTAGGAGTGCACCTAGGAGTGCACCTAGGAGTGCACCTAGGAGTGCACCTAGGAGTGCACCTAGGAGTGCACCTAGGAGTGCACCTAGGAGTGCACCTAGGAGTGCACCTAGGAGTGCACCTAGGAGTGCACCTAGGAGTGCACCTAGGAGTGCACCTAGGAGTGCACCTAGGAGTGCACCTAGGAGTGCACCTAGGAGTGCACCTAGGAGTGCACCTAGGAGTGCACCTAGGAGTGCACCTAGGAGTGCACCTAGAAGTGCACCTAGGAGTGCACCTAGGAGTGCACCTAGGAGTGCACCTAGGAGTGCAACTCCAGGTCCTCAGCCCGTGGCCTTGTTTCCCCCCACACTCCCCCCCTCGCAAACCCCCTCTTCCACCAGACCCTCTCCTGCCACCTGCTGCCCCACCTGCGCCCACTGGTCAATGAGCAAGGCAATGCAGCACAGCTGGCGGCAGCCCACGTCACCCAGGCCATTCACCCCCTTCTCCCCCCTCCTCTTTCACATTCCCCTTCTCTCTCGACCTCCCCTGCCCCCAGACCCTTTCCCGGCAGCTGCTGCCCCACCTGCGCCCACTGGTGAGCGAGCGCGGAACTGCAGCACAACGAGTAGCAGCGCACTTCACCCAGGCGCTCGCAGCCCGGCAGGCGGGGTGCGGGGCAGAGCAGTACAACCGCGGGCTCAACGCGTCCTCCCAGGAGATAGTGGCCTCCATGGAGCGCTGCTTCGCCATGTTCCCACGAGTAGCACACTTGCCCACGTCATGTTCCCCCCTCCCACTCCCCTCCCCCCTCACTCCCTTCTCCCAATCAGACCCTCTCGCGTCGCCTGCTGCCCCACCTGCGCCCACTGGTCAACGAGCGTGGAACGGCAGCGCAGAGAGTAGCAGCGCACTTCACCCAGGCGCTGGCAGCCAGGCAGGCGGGGTGCGGGGCAGAGCAGTACAATCGCGGGCTCAACGCGTCCTCCCAGGAGATCGCAGCCTCCATGGAGCGCTGCTTCGCCTCGCTGCCCTATCTGGACTTCTGCCACGTGGCGGCTATGCGGCCTGTGCTGGCGGCAGTGAACGGCAGCCGTCGGATCCACATCATCGTGTTTGGGTTCTGGATGGGGCGGTACTGGCTGGAGCTGCTGCAGGTGAGGAACCTGCTTGTGTGAGGCAGATGCTGCCACTGCTGCTGCTGGTGTGTTGCCGTCATGCATGGTAAACTGTAGCCCTGCTTTCCTTCCACATCACCCCATCGTCACCAGTTGAAAAGAACAAGCTGTAAAAGCTCTGGATTCTGCTACCTCACCTTTCCTCTTTGCCTCACCATTCCAACATCATCCTCACCAGTCTGGAGCTCACAAAGCTTGCACTCACTTTGCTGCTGCTCCAATCATTCAACCAACCCCCTTCCATGTGCCCCCACCCCTCTTTCAGGCCTTCGCTTCCTTCCCAGGGAGTCCTCCCTCTCTAAGAGTGACAGGCATCGACATCACATGCCGCAACGAGCACACACCTTATCTTCGCCGTTCACCTCCCCCTTGTCTTCGAGACGTCTCAAAAACAACCTCGCTTCACGTGGTTTTGAGACGTCTCAAAAAGAACCTCGCTTCACGTGGTTTTGAGACGTCTCAAAAACAACCTCGCTTCCCGTGGTTTTGAGACGTCTCAAAAACAACCTCGCTTCACATGCCGCAACGAACACACAGCTTATCGTCGCCGTTCACCTCCCCCTTGTCAAACCCTCCAGGCTTTGGCACCCACCCTCTCTCCGCGTAACAGGCATGGTTGTCATATGCCGCAACGAGCTCATAGACTCCAAATCCTCTGCTGCCTTTCCTTGTCTGCCCTTCACCCCTGCCCTTGTTTCTCCTCCCTCCCAGGCCCTAGCTGCTTTCCCAGGCAGCCCTCCCTCCCTGCGAGTAACAGGCATCGACGTCACATGCAGGAACGAATTGACGGATTCCAAGTCCTCTGCTGCTTTCTCCGGCCGCCTGCTCTCCCGCGCTGCCGCTGCTCTCGCCATCCCCTTCCGCTTCAAAGCTGTTGTTCTCCCTGTCGGCCCCGCTGCTGCCTCCATGCCGCTCGAGGGGAAGGGAGGGGGTGGCGGAGGGGGAATGGGGGCCGGGGGGAGCGGGGGAGGATTCGGGGGGAGTGGGGGAGGGGTTGGGGGAGGGTTCGGGGGGGCGATGGGGATGCGGTCGGTGGTGGGGGGGTTGGAGGAGGAGGTGGAGGTGGAGGAGGGGGAGGCCACGGTGGTGCAGTGCAACATGAGTCTGCTCTTTCTGGCAGATGACTCGGTGCTTCGGGCCAACCCACGCGACACACTGCTCAGGGTGAGTGCTGGGCAGAGCAATTGAGCGCGCATGGGAAGGTGAGTGCTTGTTGGAGCAAGCCCGCTAGGACTGGATGAAACAGGTAGGTGGGTTGTTGTTGAAGCAGGCACGGGCGCAGAGTAGGGTGAGGTGCGTGGGGGCGACAGTGGTGCAGTGCAACATGAGCCTGCTGGTCCTGAATGATGACTCGGTGCTTCGTGCCAACCCACGCAACACAGTGCTCAGGGTGAGTGGTGGGTGCAACTGGCACCGGGGGGCTGAGTGTAACGGACATGCCCACGGGGTACGGTTCATCGTGGGGGCCACGCTGGTGCCGTGCAACATGCGTCTGCTGGTCCTGACTGATGACCACGTGCTTCGCTCCGACCCGCATGATTCACTGCGGTGGGTTAGTGCTGGGTGGAGCAGGCATGCCAAGTGTGGTTGAAACAGGTACGTGGGGGCTGGGTGGACTCCCCACCCCACCCACCACTGTGGTCATCCACATGGCCACGCCTCTCTACCCACCCTTCACCCTCTCCCGCCCCCACTTTCTCCTTCCGTCACACCCCAACTGCCGTTGTGAGTGGCCCTCCGGTCCAGTGGAGTGGATCCGTTCGCTCTCCCCACACACCACCATCGTCGTGAGCTTTTCAATCCGCCCTTCAATACCCACCCCCTTGGACCCCCCTCCCCCCCTTTCTTTTCCAGTGGATCCGCTCCCTCTCGCCACTCACCACTGTGGTGGTCGAGATGGACGCGCCACTCAACTCGCCCTTTTTCCTCCCGCGCTTCCGCGCCGCCCTCCGTGTCTTCTCCTCCATCTTCGCCTCTCTTGATGCCGCCCTGCCACGGGATAGCCCGCACCGGCACACGTGTGAGCGCCTCTATTTCGCACGCGACATTGTGAATGTCGTGGCCTGTGAGGGCATTCAGAGGACGGTTCGGGCGGAGAGCCTGGAACAGTGGCAGGCTCGGATGCGCCGAGCCGGGTTCGTAGGTTTGGAGGTGGGGATGGAGGTGATGGAGGAGCTTCGGGGGGTGCTGAGGAAGGGAGGGAGGAAGTATGGGGGGTATGAGGTTTTGCAACAAGGGAATGGAGTGAGGTTGCTGTGGGAAGGGGTTCCTGTACTGGCTGCTTCTATGTGGCTTTAAATGTGGTATATGTTTTGCAGTATGATTTTGCGAGTTATTGTTTGTTCAGAGAAAGAACAAGGGGCTGATGGTGGATCAACAAGGCAGGCCTATGTTCATCACCAATTGTCAAGTGGATCAATGTGAGGTAGCTAATCCAGTATCTCACATGGCCTCACTGAACCCATACACATACCTAGGTGAAGCCACCTCGGTAGAGCAATGCCAGGATAATGAAGCACTAGGTTAGAGACGGCTACATTTTTTTGTGCTCATCCAAACAATCATCCCATCATATACGCGACAGTACACGACGCGTACAATTAAATTAAAACTTTTGGTGAGCATCCCGAGAACGCTTTCGCGCGCCGGGCAGATGCTTTCGCTGCAAGGGTCAGACACACTGCCACTGATGATTGCTTGGACCAGGCAGTCGGCTCCCCAAGATTGATTGTGGTGGTCCAAGCGGCAGCAAGTAGGGCAACTGGCCCATGTGGCTTGTGGTGCAAGCCACAGATTTCTGCCAGTTTGCTGTCTCATTCACCGACGAAAGATTGCTCGAAAGTGGTTCTTCACTTTTGACCTTGAAAATCGTTACCTTTGAGTGGCAGTACACTGTAGTACAGCTCAACCCCCCACTCCGTCCAAGCAGATACACCCTGTTTCGCGCTAGCAGAGCATCTGGTTGCAGAACATGCACTAGTTGTAGAACGTCACCACGTTTGAAATGGTCTTATCACCGACGGTACAAGCACATTCACAAGAAAGCGGTTAGCTAGGATGCTGCATGGTAAAGAACATAAACCAAGCGTTTCAAAGCGGTTGAAAAGGGTATACAGCGATAAAGAAAAATTTTGCCCCCAGTACCACTCCGTCAGCTGGTGCGACTTTGCCCGCAGGTTTCAGCCATACGGTTTATGGCACCTGACCGCACTGTAGCAGCGAATCGCGCAAGGTGAGAGGGTCGAGAAACTGGGTGTAGCTGATTGTGCTGTACTGTACCCACATGTGATTCGTCAATACATGAAAGGGTCATTACGGGCAAGCCAGGGTTTAGGTCCCGCAAGAGACCCCTTATTCGCCTTGGAGATTTTTTGTGAATGTACGGGGGCAAGTGGAGAAATAAGGTTGAAAACTTTCATAATATCAGTGGAAGTCTTGAATGATAGCAGTATCTATACGTTTGAGGGCTTAAAATAAGGCAACTATTGAAGGTTCAGCTGATAGGTAGGTGATTTGTCCGTGTTGATCTTCACAAGGATGGTTAAACCCTAGGGTAATAATAGAATGCACTGTGCCTATGTTGAAATTAAATTATTTCATATTGGCCAAATCCTGAATTTGACCAGATGATTTGTCGTTTTGGCCATATATTTATTCGGCAATCTAAGCTCTTATTGTATATTTGAATGGTCGGTTTAAAGGTTATTATACAGGCTCGTCTTTCATTAAGGCTCATCACGTGCTAGTTTTTTTTGCTCTATGCAAATTTCCATGTAACAACCCTCGTTTCCTAACCATACGATGGATGTGAGTTTTACACCCCAAAGTATCTTTATTGAAACTAGTACAAATAATAAGAGTCGCAAATCATGATATCGTACACTCCAAGTAATCAAACTTGATGTATATATATTATATGAAGAATATCATACGACTGCATGTATATGGTTGGTCTCCATAAAGTTTTAATTGAAATAAAATGACATATAACATAGGAAGATTTTGTAGTTTTTTATTAGCCTCGAGTGTTTATTGTGTTTTTTAAAATTTCGGCTTCAACATTCACTCAAATTAACAGCAGTTATATTTAGGTACTGGTGATCAATCATATCAAATAGTCTTAAATAATCATTGGATGAGCTTAAATGAGTGGTCATGCTCGGAAAACCGATACCGAACTTTTAGCCAGTCAGTAACATATTACATAAGAAACTGTACTGTATCGGCATTAGCTCGACTCGACACAACTCATTCTCACCTATGTGGTCCAAAAGCACGATTATCTAAGATCCAATCCTCCATACAGTGCTGTCGTGTGCATGCGCACATTCACGTATACAGTTCATAAGCGGTTCATCATTATTGTCTTCAAGCCCACACGCGTGTCCTTTAATGCGTTTTGCTGTGCTCTACACCTTCTTTTGCGCTACACTGGCAACGGGATTCACTGGCTACAGTGAAACTGTTCTCCGGACATATTCGGAATTGTTACAATAACCGTCTCTAGGGGGTGAGTGATTCGCAATTTCGTTATCCTGGGTATCCTACCGAGCCATATCAAACGTTCAAACGACCGTCTTCGAAAGTAACGAACCACGTCAAACCGTAATGGTGCAAAAGTCCACTATAACGCGTCCTCTGGCGCGTTGAGCCACAGGGCCCATATAGCCAATGACAGTGTAGCACGAAAGAGGGTGTATGCCCTTCCACACCGTGGTTCTCATATCTTACTGGTCAGGCACAATGTGACGGAGTGTAGCCAATCAGTTTCGATAGCCAGGAGCAGAACCGACCGCATTTGGATGCGTCAAAGTTTCTCGTTATTCCTGCCCAACTACAGTAAGAGTGAAAAAATGTTGACAATCAGCGGTTAGACAAGACATAATTTACAGAAGAGTCAAACGAGTGTGGGAACGAAAAACGTTTTACAGCCGACGAATGGGAGCAAGCAGGCGGGAGAGGAGAGGAGGAGAGGGCAAGAGAGTCATGAGGGCGTTTATCAGAACACCCGTCGTGGTTTGGGCGCATTTCAGGCTGTTCGTAACAAGCGACTCCACGATTTTCTGCTACTTTGGGCGATTTGTGGCGACCAAAACCTCGTAAAGGAGGTTGGCCGAATTACGAACGCTGGCGATCATGATTCTCCAGTCGTGCACTCTGTACCTGACAGCAGGCGACCGATTTTCGTCACCCTCTAGCCGGTGAGATAAATTTGACGGGCGGTTTGAAGTCAAAACCGTCAAAACATGTGTGTCTTATGCACTTTCGAAGCCAAAGAGGCTGGCCTATTTGAGATGATGTTTGCAATTGAGCGAGCGGCGACTGGAACTCTTCCCTATAATGGTTTTGGGCAGCACCAACAAAAAGATGGTGCCGTCACTTTTGGACCTTCTAGGCATTCGCAGACGGTGAAGTGACGCGCCATTCTACTGGCTGCGACCAAACACTGTACATGTGCAAATTTCATCAACAGTGCTGAAGCTTGTTTGTTCTGAGGCTTTCAGCCCCGAAATACTTGGGCACTGTGCGACGACCAAGTTGTTCGGAAGTCACCTGTTACGAAGCCCGAAATGCGGCCTTGGACGATTCCAAACGGTGCACAGCGGTTTCGGAGCTTCACCGTCTTTAACCGCGACGAAACAAAACCAGACAGGACGAACGAGGGTGGAACACGCTGACGGATGGGGTGGAGAGTCGCCGATTGTTTTTTATGGCGGACCAGGAGGAGCCTGTGTACTGAATTGTTGGGGTTTCTGTAGCTCCCTCCCTCGCTCGCCATTCCTCTCCAGAAGTTCCTTCATGCAGAATTGAGGTTGGTCCTTGCAGCATATTTCCTGCGCTCAAGAACTGGAGTGTGCTAGAACCCTACCAGATCGTGATGTAACCATATGAACCGCACACGAACAGTATTCAAATCCCGTTGACAGCACGGAGTGTTTCTGTTATCTCCCATCAGCTAGAAATTGTCACAGCTACAGTGTCAGTGCAGGACTCTTCGTGTGAGCGGGGCGAGCCTTCATGATTCTTTCGAGTGGCCTAGTCAGCTGATTAGTCTGTTCCTGTCAAGAAATCACAGGGTCCTTCGTATGGCTCCTATTATTTTCACGGAAGCTGCTGCTTGGCCTACCAACCAGGGCGACTTCCCCGGCTCCATGGTTCTCATGGACGGTTTTAGTCATGGCGTGGACAACCCCACAAACGGCTGGAGCGGACGAGGTGTGGAAGCCGGCGGACAATACGGCAGTGGCATCGATAGAAAGCACCATCCTGACGCCCGTTTTCCATCGTCGGACGAGTTCGTTAAGGCGGCTCAGTTGCACAACAGCGATAATCGCGGCGACGTTATATCTAAATTCGGACGTGGACTTAACTGTGCAACTCCGTTCCTTGAAGATGGAATGTTTGACGGATTGCTGACTGGTGACGCGGCGATTCACGACCTGGCAGCATGGACGGACCCCGCGCTTCGGTTCGCAGAGGGATTCCTCCCATCGTCGGGATGCAATGGTATGACAAAACTCGTTTGAGCATGATATTTTTCATACTCCTGAACCTGCTGCTGCTACGATGATTCCACCAACACAAGGTAGTGCCACTGTTTTCCGTGCTATGCTGCTTAACCATGTAGCGATTTTCTGGCATGGGACCCTTTTCCTTGTAGTCCCTTCATTTTTTCCCCCTTTGTTTCCATGCTTCTCATCTCAGGTGTGCAGCAACCCCCACCACCGGTCGAATCGGAGCACGGAACCGAAATTCAGAAGCAGGGGCGGAATAAAAAGACTCGTGCCGGCGCTCTCTTCGTTCCTGCTGATGCTGCTGGTGGTTCTGGTGCTGCTCCTGCTCCTACTGCAGCTACTGCCGCTGCCGCTGCTGCTCCTGCTCCTGCTCCTGCTCCTGCTGCTGCTGCTTCTCCTGCAGCATCAGTTGGATGGAATCTCGACCTCCTGAGCGCTCCTCTGAGTTCAACGCTACGGAAGGCGTCGTCCGATTCAGGTCATACGCACACCAAAGCGCCGACTGGCGTCTGTTTGAGCGACCTCCGTCATAATGGGATGAACACTCCTGGCGGCGTCGGACACGCTCTGCCGTCGCAAGGCGGCGGGTCGTCAGTGCCCGAAAGCGTTACGCGTCGCGTCGACAGCCTTCGCGCCTCGACAAACTTGGTAACGAATAGAAGTGGTGACGTTCATGTCGCCGACGCGGATGCGAAGAGGTCCGGCGAAGGAATTTCGCACGGTTCGCAGAGTGGTAGTTTCCCCTGTCGCTCCGTCGCTTCGTCGGTTTGCGAAAGCGGGACTCGCGGCGGAAAGCCGGTGAGGTGTAAGAAATTCCCGCGTTGCCGATGCAGCGAGGCTTCGCGGCACGAAACGGGTTCGCAATCTCTTCAGGAGGCCGCGTCGCAGAGCGTTGCCAGTGCGACGAAAAACCACGCGCAAGTTCGCGAAACCATCGCAAGTGGTTCGCTCGCGTCCCGGTCTCAAGTGCTTACGTCTGCCGGGAACAGCAACGGCACTGGGAGCAGCGACGGCACTGGGAGCAGCGACGGCACTGGGAGCAGCGGCAGCGCAAAATGCGGCGATGAAGAGCAACAGCAGCAGCGGCAGCAGCAGGGCGAGAACGTTTCAAAGGATCAGCCGGCCAGAGTGGTGAAGCCCGTCGATCTGACGCAGCGCCTGGCGAGCGTGTGCCGAATGCAGGCGCAAAAATCGCGCGCGAAGAAGGCCGCCGCGCTAGCCCAGGCGAACGCGCAACGGCAGGCGCAAGAGCAAGGGCAGGCGCAAGCCTTGCTGCAAGCGCGGAAGTTAGCCGCGCAGGTTCAAAGTCAGGCGGTTCCCGCATTGGCGGCGCAGCATCAGCGATTGCTGGAGCAGTCGTTGTCGCTGGTGCAACCGTTGGTGCCCCGTTCTAACGAACAGCAGCCGCAGCAGCAGCAGCCGCAGCAGCAACAGCAGCAGCAGCAGATGGTATTACGGCGGCCAATGGCGCCACAGATGGCGCAGGGGAGCACGGGGAACGCGAGCGAGCTGGAGCGGCTGCTGCAGCGGATAGGCCAGGGTCCAGGGCAGGGCGACGGGCAACAGTTGATAGAATATCTGCACTTGCTGCAGCAGCAGCAACAACTGCAACAGCAACAGCAGCAGCAGCTGCAGCTGCTGCAGCAAGCGCAACCGCCGCAGCAGCTGCAGCCACAGTACAGGAACGGACAGCAGCAGCAGCAGCAGCGAGGCGAGGCGGCGCAGCAGGAGGCGGCGGGCAAGCGACCGTTGGTGGACTCGGCGTTCCACCGCGAGTTCCAATTCGACAGCATGCCCGCCATGCGCGCTGCCGAGAGCCTCGCGCTCGAGCGCGCGCTTACCGCCGCTGACAGGGCCGCGGCCGTGCCAGCTTCCGCCAGTGTGCCACCCCGCGGGGCCGCGGAAGCAGCTGCGGAACCAGCGGGGGCAGCAGCGCCGTTTTTGGCGGTTGCGGGGATGACGGCGGACGCGGGGGGGATGGACGGGATGGTGGGGGTGACGGGGGGGACGGCGGGGTGGGCTCGCGCGACGGACGCGGACATGTTGTCGCAGCTGTTGGCGAATTCGCGAACGCCTCTGGCGACGGACATGGACTTGGTGTCGCAGGTGCGGCTGCGGATGGACCCGGCGCTGCTGGCGTCGCTGGATGCCATGCGCGCGCACTCGCAGCACCACGCGCAGCTGCACGCGCTGCAGCAGGGGTTGCAGGGGCAACAGGCGCAGCAGGGGCTGCAGGCGCAACAGGCGCAGCAGGGGCTGCAGGCGCAACAGGCGCAGCAGGGGCAGCACGGGCAGCAGGCACAGCTGATGCAGCAGGGGCATCAGGGGCGGCAGGGGCAGCAGGTGCAGCTGTTGCAGCAGGCACAGGCAGGCATGGCCGGGGGTCAGCCGTCCGTAACGCTCACCCCAGAACTGCAGCAATACCTAGCTGCTGCCGGGAAGCTTCCTTTCCTGGACAAAAACTTCCCAATCTGGGAGGCTCTCCGGGCGGCATCCGCGCAACAAGCCCCGCCTGGTTTCTCCTCCCCTCCCATGGCCACACCCGCCACTGCCTTCCCATCCGCCACACCCCTCCCTCCCGCCGCACCCCTCCCGCGCATCACAGCCATACCTCCTTCCCCCAGCATATTCGGCTGCACAGAGGACGTGCGCGCAGTGCACGCGCCCTCCGCGTCCGACGCGGAACTGCGCGCGCGCCTGCTGCGCCTGGCGGAGGCCGTGGCCACGAGCGAGCAGGGCGAGATGGCGGCGCTGACGCGCGTGCTGCGCGCGGACGCGACGCCCCACGGCACGCCCATGCAGCGCGTGGTGCACTACCTGCTGGGCGCGCTGGGGAAGCGCGCGTCTGGGAGCCTGGGGGAGGAATACGTGGTGGAGCCGCTGCAGACCGCCGAGGTGAGTGGGCTCTATAAGAGAAGCATGGGGTGGCATGGCGGGGAGGTGAGTTGGTTCACTTTGAGTGCGTCGACTCAGTAATTATCGTGTCGGGGAGCCTTAGGGAGGAGTATGTGGTGGAGCCGCTGCAGACTTCCAAGGTGAGTGGACTGCACATAGCATGGCATGGCATGGCATTTGGGGTGGTTTGTGACTCCTCTCCTTCCTTCCTCGTTCCTTTCTTTCTTTCCTTCCTCCTTTCCTTCCTCCTTTCCTTTCCCTCCCACTGACCACTCCTCACCCATCAAAACTGACTCTTTCTCCACTACTTCTCTGTTGCCCACTATCCGCCCGCCGTCCACCATCCCCACCTGTCCCACACTCCGCCACCAGGAGGAGGCGCTAATCCTCGCATTCGCGGCACGCAACCCGCTGATGCAGCACTGCTACACCACCATGGCGTGCGGCATCGTGGACGCCTTAGAGCACGACCCCCTCGTTCACATCGTTGACTTCGCCATGTGGGGCGGCCAGTGGCCCATCGTCATCCGCCAGCTGGCAGCCTCCGCCGCCCGCCGCCGCCGCGAGAGCTGCACCCACGGCTGCACTGCTATCGGCGCCGCGGACGCCACTGGCGCTGGCAGCAGCAGCGGCAGCAGCAACAGCGGCAGCAGCAACAGCAACGGCGGCAGCAGCAGCGCATGCCCCACGTGCACGGGCCCGCTCCCTCTCCACATCCGCTACACTGCAGTCGAACCCCCTCCCGGGCACCCCTGGGGAGCAGGCCCCAAGATCCCCATCCCGTTCCTGCAGGCGGAGGTGAGCGGTGGCGCAGCAGAGTGCGGAGTGGCGTTGAGCTTTCACCGCGTGGAGGCAAGACCCGAGACGCTGAGGCCGCTCATGCTGGGGATCCAGCGCGGGGAGGCCGTGGTGGTGAACTGTGCGGGGAGGTTGGCGAATTTGGCGGACTCGACTGTGCTGCGTTCCAGCCCCAAGGACACTGCTCTCTCGGTACGCTTCTTCCTCTCTACAGAAGAATCTGCTATTCCTCCCCTCATTCACACCCCCTCTCCTGTCCAGTCCTGGCTGTAATGGAGTGGAGCAGCAATGCCAACCACCACCAGCCCTTATTCCCACCTCGTCCACTCTCCATTCTTCTCTCACTCGTCTTCCAACACCTCTTCCTTGTTTTCCTCAATAACACCTCATTTTCCTCAACACCTCTCACTCATCCTGGCAGACCATCCTGCAGCTAGCACCCAAGGTGGTGCGGGCCGTCGAGTGGAGTTCTAACCACCAACAGCCCTTCTTTCCTCCCGCTCCACAATCCAATCCCCTTCTTCCCACCCATTTCCCTACTGACCATCCTGCCGCTGGCGCCCAAAGTAGTGATGATTGTCGAGTGGGACGCCAACCACCGGCGGCCCTTCTTCCCACCGCCTCTAAGCCTCTATCCTCCAATCCCTCTTCTCTGTTCTCCCTCATACCACCCATCATCCCTCCCGACAGACCATCCTGCAGTTAGTCCCCAAGGTGGTGACGATAGTGGAGTGGGACGCGAACCACCGGCAGCCCTTCTTCCTGCACCGCTTCCGCGACTGCCTCGACTTCTTCTCCAACGTCTTCCACTCCCACGAGCACCTCGCCTCGCGCGCCTCCTTTGGCCGCCGCGGCTTCGAGGATAGAGTGCTGGCACGAGAGATGATCAATCTGGTGGCGTGCGAGGGGCTGCAGAGGCTGGTGCGCGCGGAAACGCTGGATCAGCTGCATGAGAGGATGCAGCGCATTGGGTTTGCCGCCAAGCCGTTTTCGCGGAGGAGTATGGCCGCGCTGGGGCAGATGCTTGCGCCGTATTCCAAGGGGTTTTCGGTGGTGAGTCATCCGTTGGGGGGTGTGCAGCTGCTTTGGCAGGGCAAGTCGATGCTTGGTGCGTCCTTCTGGCAGCCTGCTGTGGAAGGGGTGGAACTGGGCTTGAGCAGGGGGTGTGTGGGTCATTTGAATGGCCATGTGAGTGCCGTGGGGGTTACGTGAAGCACGCTGCGAGGCACTCCAGAATTAACTACTGATTGATGCGTGGTGAGGTGATAATACGGTAGCTTATCTGTACTTAATTGACTGGAATACGTGTTTTGAGGATTGATCTTAGTACAGTAGTACAAGGGTTGTTGAAGGTGCTTGCAGTAAACACTGCCACGTGGTTAAGGATTTCTCGGTACCTTTTCTTTTTAATTCCGTCATACCCCGGATATAAGCGCCACCCTCGGATAAGCGCCTGGCGCTTTTAATTGGCGTGTGGCGCTTGTATTCGCTGCTCGATTATAAGCGCACCCCCCGAAAAAACTTGTTTTATTGTAAGCGCACATTAACTTAAATTTTGAAATGTGTTCAGAACGCTGTAACAATTTTTACTTCAGCAGGCGGATGTGTTGCAGATTCGTGTCCCTTCGCATTCGGACCCTTCAGATTCGGTTCCCTTCTCATTCGGACCCGTCAGATTCGGTTCCCTTCACATTCGGACCCTGCGGGTTCAGTCAGCAGGAGCTGTCGGAAGCTGGATGTGAGTCAGATTGAGTGTATCTCCCAGCGCGCGCAATAATTTCAGATCACCCCATGTAACTTCGACTCGATTGAAAAGGCAAGCACGAGATCTACAGTCTGGTGTTAAAAAATATAAAGTATATATACCGTATTCTCCCGGACATAACACCCTAGGGTAGATCTAAAAATACAAGAAAAAAAGGGGGGGTGTCTTCTTATAGGAAAAAGCTACATAATACCCGGGTGCATATATATGGTATATTTTAGTGTTAGAGATTTTTTTTGTTCGAGAAGTTCAGCGTTTCCATGGGCTTTTTAACAACACACGTTGAGGCGCGAATGTCAGTTTCGACACGACGCCATCACCCCCTCGGAAATGTCATTTGGAACCTCTCTGGCCACCTGCAGCGCAAGATTCGCCAGCACGTGGCGACAGCGAAACAGTGGGCGGGGGGGGAATCTCGGCAGATTTTGTCAGATTTATATGACATAGTTGCTGTAGGCTATAGTGGGGTAGCACATATGGGGTACAGGGTTTCTAGGGTTGTATTTGTACCCAATCTTTCCTTAGTCATTTCATTCATGTTCACTTGTTTCACATGGTATAGAGCGGGTCCTTCCTAAGGACCGTTTTTTTAGGGCCCACTGAAGCGCGCCCCGAGGCGCGCATTTTTTTAGCGACCCCTCGGGTCGCCATTTCCATCGCGGCCCCGCCGCCTGCTTGACGCGTCCCCGCCGCCTCCACTGACGCGGTCCGCCGCCGACTCTGACGCGGCCCTGCCGCCCGCTACGTCGCGGCCCCGCCGCCTGCTTGACGCGGCCCCGCCGCCTCCACTGACGCGGCCCCGCCGCCGGCTCTGACGCGGCCCTGCCGGCCTGCCGCTGCACCTGACGGCCCCGCCGCTGCACCTGCCGGCCCGCCGCTGCACCCTACGGCCCGCCGCTGCACCCTACGGCCCGCCGCCTCACCTGACGGCCCCGCCGCTGCGCCTGCCGGCCCGCCGCTGCACCCTACGGCCCGCCGCTGCACCCAGCGGCCCGCCGCTTCACCTGCCGGCCCGCCGCTGCACCCTACGGCCCGCCGCTGCACCCAGCGGCCCGCCGCTTCACCTTGTGAAATGAATAAGCAGGAATGGAATGACTAAGGAAAGATTGGGTACAAATACAACCCTAGAAACCCTGTACCCCATATGTGCTACCCCACTATAGCCTACAGCAACTATGTCATATAAATCTGACACACCCCCATAGGCAAAGTGGGGGAGAACAAGGGGTCACAAGACCAGTCAAGCAAAGCAAAGCAAGCTCAGGGTGGATCACAAAGTCACCACACAGTCCGAGCACAAGAGAAGGGCCAGAGGCCAGTTCACATGCAGGAGTACAGACATATATATAAAACTAGACAAACAAGAGCAGGCATATATATATGTCACAGTACAAGTGAAGTCAAGAGGAGAGCAAGTGAGGCAAGACAGGCACAAGACCCAACTGGGTGCAAAAGCGCTGATGGTCACAAGGCGCGAGTGCCTTGGTGAACACATCAGCAGTGTTGGCCTCAGAGGCCACGTACGCAAGTCCCAACTGACCACGCTGCTGCAGCTCACGAGCAAGGAAGTAGCGGAGAGCAATGTGCTTCGTTCTGTGCTCCAAGCGCTGCTCTCGACACAAGGCCAGCATAGCCTTGTTGTCTACGTACAGCACTGGAGGAGAACGAGGCGGCTCTCCAAGGTCAGTCAGCAGGTAGGTGAGCCAGCGAAGCTCCTGTGCAGCCATGGCCCCGGCGTAGATCTCAGCCTCACAACTGGAGCCGAGAACCGAAGACGAGCGAGTAGACCGCCACGAGACAGAGCCGGAACCAAGGCTGAAGGTGTAACCCTGTGACGACCGCTGCGTAGCCTGGTCGTCAGCCCAAGAAGCGTCCGCGTGGCCGGTAAGGACCACTGGACTCCGCCCTCCAAGCACTAGCCCCATGCCCGACGTACTGCACAGGTAGCGCAATACCCTCTTCGCTGCAGCCATGTGCTCCGGTCTGTGTCTCCCAGGAGCAACATAGCGTGCAAGAATGCTCAGAGGGTATGCAAGGTCAGGTCGTGTGCAGGTCATCAGGTACATGAGGCAGCCAACAAGCTCTGCATACGGACCACTCGACTCTACGGACTCATCCGAAGGCAGAGCTGAGAGTGAGTGGCGAGTAGGCAGAGGAGTGGCCTGAGGCGAGGAGTACGTGAAGCCGAAGCGCTGAAGGACCTGCTGCACCATGTGTGACTGAGTCAAGGTAATGGTGCGGCGTGCTCTGTCCCGAGTGATCTGCAAGCCAAGGTAGCTGCGCAGTTCACCCAGGTCTGTGCACGTGTGTCTCTTCAGCAGCTCGGACTTCACGTAGGCGAGTCCAGCAGTGTCTGCTGTGGCAAAGACCAAGTCGTCGACGTACACGAGGATGTAGAACGGCGGCAGGGAAGTGTCGGTGCGAAGAAACAGCGACGGGTCAGCAGTAGAAGGAGCAAACCCAAGAGCCACAAGCGTAGTCCTCAGTGTGTCGTGCCACTCACGCGGTGCCTGGCGGAGACCGTAGACTGGCCGTCGGAGGCTCCACTGGGTGCCAGGAGGGAAAGTCCCAGTGAAGCCAGGTGGACGGCGAAGCCAGATCTCCTCGTGTAGGCTACCCTGCAAGAACGCAGTGCTGAAGTCGAGAGAGTGAAGCTCGTAGTCGCGCTGAGCGGCTATGTGCAGCAGCACCCGAAGAGTAGTCATCTTCGGGGTGGGAGAGAAGGTCTGAAAGTAGTCAACTCCCTGCCGCTGACTGAAGCCACGAGCAACGTACCGTGCCTTGAAGACAGGTGGAGAGCCCGGCGGCCGCTTCACCCTGAAGATCCACATGCCACTGACGATGTTCGCCCCAGGGGGGGGAACCGCGTCAACGTAGGTGCCTGTGGACTTCCAGGAAGCCATCTCTGCATCCATAGCTGCCTGCCACTGAGAGGAGTAGGGACCCTCTACGGCGTCTGCGTAAGAACGCGGAGTCGGGATGTCTAGTGCATCCGGGTCTCCCTCAGGGGCAAGCAGTACAGACGTGAGATGAGGTGAAGCAGCCGCTAGACACTGTAACTCCTCCTGCCTGTCCTCTAGGACGTCCGTGCTAAGAGCACACTCACCCCCGACGGACGGAGGACAGACAGACGCAGACTCAGCAACAAGACTAGCAGCGTAGTCGAGACGACAGCGAGCAGCAAAGTCGACGAGCTCAGCGACTAGAGCAGACGCAGCAGTGGACTCAAAAGAGGGGTCAGTGACAACAGTAGCAAGCAGACGTGTGACAGTAGGACTGGCAGCACGAAGAGAGTCCGACTCAGGGTCGGCAAGCGCAGGAAGAGAGGACTCAGGAGGAGAAGGCAAAGGGGCACGCAGAGGAGCAGTGGACGGACGCAAAGACATCCGGTGCGTGCCAGGGACAGGAGGAGGACGCTGACGCGAACTGCGACCACTAGCGCGAGCAGCACGAACAGGCGACGCGGGACGAGACGCAGGCTCACGACGCTCAGCAAGACCTCCAGTAGGACCAGTGTAAGGAGAGGGAGCAGGCAGTGGAGAGGAAGGCTCCAGTAGGGACTGCGACTGGACAGGCGGTGGACCCTCTACCGGAGGAGAAAGACCAAGAACCTGCTGCAAGAGCGGAACGAAGTACGGCCGAGGCCGCGCGGCAGCTCCAGACGCAGCAGGGTCTGCACCAGCAGCCTCAGCGATAGCACCAGCGCCACCCACACCTCCAGTGGCAGGACCAACAGCAGTAGGCTCAGCACCAGCTCCCTCAGCAGCTCCAGCTCCAGGAGGACCCGCAGGTCCAGCAGCTCCGGGACCGGCAGCACCCGCACCCACGACGGTCGAAGAAGCTCCAGCTCCAGCTCCAGCAGCACCTCCAGACTCAGCAGCACGCCTCCAGCGGCGAGCGAACCACTCGCGCAGCTCCTGTGGAGAGAGGGGCTCCCGGCGAGACGCAGCAGCAGGAGAAACCCCAGGCTCAGCAGCTCCAGACGCAGCACCCCCAGGCTCAGCAGCTCCCAGCTCAGCACCTCCAGGCTCAGTAGCTCCCGACCCAGCACCCCCAGACCCCGCACCCCCAGGCACAGCACCTCCCGGTTCAGCACCCCCAGGCTCCGCACCCTCCGCAGTAGCACCCTCAGGCCCAGCACCCCCAGCAGTAGCACCCCCAGGCTCAGCACCCCCGCGCACAGCACCCCCAGAGTCAGCACCCCCAGGCTCAGCACCCGCAGCAGCACCAGAGTCACCAGTAACCTCGACCGGGTCAACGGCGTCTACCTGGGACACACCTGAGGGGGCAGGAACCTGAGGGGGGAGGGGGTCTACCGGGGGGGGAACCGGCACAAGGAAGTCCGGGGGAGGGGGGAGGGAAGGAGTGCGGTAGGGGAAGAGACGGTAGAAGGGGACTGACTCGTCGAACGTGACGTCCTGGGAGGACAGAACACGACGAGAGGAGG